TAAAAAGTTGCATTATTGAAAATGGCGGAAAGACCCAGGAATACATGACACCCTTTACAAAACTGTTTCCATGACAACTACAGACTTTTGACCTGACTGTTTCAATTACAGACTGTTGACCAGATGTAATACACTGGAACCCAACTTGACCTCACTTGTTTCCATGACAATTGCAGACTGTTGACCGGACTGTTTTCATGACAACTGCAGGCTGTTGACTAGATTGGATTCCAACTTAAGAAAGAAATTTTTGCATCTTTCATGCAAAATATGCCCACAGTATTTACATATGAAAGATTACAGAAAGGATCAAAGACTCTGGGTTTGTATATTACCTGTTCAGCTTGATCTTTTCTCATATAATAGGTCTCAAAACATTCCTGTATTTCTAACACACAAAATCGATGTTTCTCTACAACACGACTACCTAACAACTGAAAAAAAACAGAACAAAACAACATTTAATCAATATCTTCCTTTTATTTTTAAGGATTGTCCTGTCTACGATATCACCCTTGGAGGAAATGGACGTAAAACCTCAGAAACAAACGAACCAAAGATTGTCTGAGAACCACAAGAACCCTTCTGATTTGCAATTGATCCATGCAATGTGAACCATGAGACTGTGTATAGTAAGTTGACATCTTGGAATAGCCTAACCTACACAGATCATTGGTACTTTAGTGTATATTAAAGGTACAAATGAACGATACTACTGTTTATAATGCCAACACATCGACATCCTCTAGCTTTAACAATCCCTGGGCCATGTTAATAATTATACTTACTGTATCTGATTCCACATATATAAAGGGACATTCCATTTGTAAATAAACCATATCTAATACCTGTAGTAAGCTTGGTTAAGGATTTTAATTTGAATGTCTCTTGATATAAAACATGGATATCAATTGGTAAGACGTTTTTTGTTTTTTTTAAATTTATGTGACATATAGAACATTCCTGAATATCACTCTAAGACTAACAAAGTATTTTTTCATCACAAGCAAAAGAGAGAGAAAAATGGGGTTTAATGTCCACTGGACACAATCTAGGTCATCTGGTGCCTAACATATTGTACAATTTTATATCACATTTTGTTTGCATGTAGGGGTCTTTATAAGCAGTGAGGATAAACCGAGGGACCTGGAAAAAAAAAACTTCACAAGGTTTGGGCAGGTGACCTTACTCCTTGTCATGTACATGCTTGGTATCAGAACAACAGCAACTGACTCAATGATCTGAAGTGTACATTTTAGACCACTTGATCAACCCACACCTCATAACAAGCAGTTTTTTCGCATCCCCTGGCGAAAACGTCGGTCTAATGAAAGTATAATGGGATCGATTCTATGTAACTGGCGAAAACACGCAGGAAAAGCGTACATGGAAAGCAGGGCTAAAACTGATATTACATAAACACATGACAAAGCTAAAAGATTAGAATATAATTTATAAAAGGATATATATTTGACTAGCAACAGATTTTAATGAATCAGCTTTAGATATATAATAACAGGCTTCTTTACACATTGTCATTAATCTTCTTCTCATCTCCTATAATATAATAAAATACATTATAATATCATGGAAGAGGTAAATGGTTCGTATGAGTCTTTAGAAGTCATGGCAGGACAATGGTCGTATGCATAACCTCAGTTTGCTTCAGGATTTTTGAAATTTACTGAAGAAAGATATACCATGTTTGTCCTAGCATTTCTGAAAATTTTTTTTTTAAAGATTTCTTAAATTTGCCGATTAGAGCTGCCCAGCACCCACAAGAATCAGCTATTTCATTTGAACAAATCTGAATAAACACCAACATATGACAATATACCAACCATGTTTCATTGAATCCATAAACATGTTGAAAATTTGCAATTATTTATGTCAGACAGAGGTGACGGCAATCTATGGCAATATACCAACCAATTAAGTTTCATTGAAATCCATCAAGCACGTTGAAAATTTACAATTGTTTACATCAGACAGAGGTGACGGCATAAGCTCCTTCAGGCCGATGGCAGCCAAAAGTATGCATTTAATTTCCCGGAAAGCCGAAACATGCACATGTGGATAAATCGCAGTTTAACTGTCAATATTTGTTGTAACAGACAATAAATATTTTTTATAACTTACCCGGAATAATCTGGGAAAGATCTGACATGTACTAACAGCATGGGTTAAAGACACCTCTCCTAAAACTTTAGCAACATGTCCTCTCCATACCTCCTCTACTTCATCAGACTGTAGGTTAAAATACAGCGCATGGAGATGAGAGAAACTGGGCGAGGCAGTGTTACCACTTAATTCTACTATATCTGTTTCACTATGGTTACTGTATAAACTATGGCTGTAAATATAAACATAATCCTAGAAGCATTATCAAATTATCCTGAGAGAGAAGAGAGAGAGAGAGAGAGAGAGAGAGAGAGAGAGAGAGTTTAATAAAGTCAACTGGAAAACAAACTAGGTCTATTTGGGACTAACATATGGTTCAACTTTTTATTTCAATAATTTGCTTGCGCGTAGGGATCTTTAGCAGGGGAAAGTAACCAGAGGACCCTAAGAAAACCCAAGCATTATCAAATCATATTCTAATAAATTACAGGAGCCAGCTGTGGACATTAAATGATCAAGATACTACTACTAGCATTATCAATTGAGTTATATTAATTCTTTCACTGCCTAACTCGTACCTGTACCATGTATATTTCATTCTAAATCTACCAACAAACAACAAACACCAAGGTTTTAGTTAACTTTAAATTATAAAACCCACTACTGAACTGATGATCAAAAACTGGTCATACAACTGATAATAAATTAAATAAGTCAATATTTGATACTATTTTAAAGTCTTAAAGAAGTTTAACATGAAGAATTGGGTCAAGAGGGAGTTTTATTTCAATTAGTGACAAATTCTAAGAGATAGTCACTTTATTTACAAATTTCAGTTTCCACAGTGAAACACAAAACTGATTATATCTCCAGTTGGCTACATCTATGGACCTATAATTTTGACAATTGGGAGTGCCACTTTAAAGATCTAGGTATGATTTTATCTAAGAGTTACTGTATATACTTACGTTGAAGCAGTTAAAGGACTAGAGTGTCGTCTTTCTCGTTGTAATGTAGCATTTTGTACAAGTATAGAATTAGAGGCAGCTAGATCCTGTGGTACACTACTCTCATCAGCAGCTGAACTTGTCTACAATTATATAAATTAAAGATGTTGAAAACAATAGATGATATGGATGAATGCTCAATTTAGTAAACTGTTAAAATGTGAATGAATGAATGAATGAATGAAATCGTGTTTTCCTACCTTTCTGCACGAACCAGGTGAATGAAGAAGGGCATGTTATGTGCTGTGAGGGAAATTTTGCTCAGACAGCAATTCAATTCTACTTCTCAAGGGTTATTTGAAGTACGCGACAACATGTACATGGGTACATGGGATCTCCATTTTTCATACAATCCTAAAGACTAGGCACTATTCTTGCACCACTGACACGAGAAACCCCGCTTGAAAATCATGCAGTGTTCATAAGAAATTGAGGACAATAGAATGATGCATGAAGGTAATGACCATATATGAACACATTTCTATGTGGGGTTATAAAAAGATAGGATGACGGGATGACAGAAATACACACATGGGGGCAATGACCTTATGAGATCATAAAAAGATAAATATTGAATGAATGAATGAATGAATGAATTTACCTCATCATTAGAAACAGTTTCCTCTTTAACACTAATACTATCACTAGGTGATATCGGTATCTCCTGCATTGTAACACCGATTATATTCAGATCAGGTACACTACCATAATGATGAGGACGACGACTTATAGACGTAGGGGAACTCTCCATATTGATAGATGTTCTACGATCAAGTTGAGAAAAGAAATCTTCATTCTGAAAGACAAAAATACATTCTTTACATAATTTTCCGAAAAACATACATTTCAAATAAAATGGAGTTTATTGTCTTATTTTGCTACACCAAACATTTCAAAATACTGATTAAAAAAAATGTCCATTCACTGTTTTTTTTTTCACTGCTGTTTAGTCACTACATTTACAATAGAGTGAACGCTTGTATTTTTTATTTATTTTGCCATGATTATGCACGTCTGTATATGATGTCAGTGTTCATGGAGCAAGTGCTTTATTCTACACAGTATCAATCTATGATGCTTTGATGGCCATTTGACAGTAAGCAGGACATTTTGGGTTTAACATTGAGGTGTGCACATAATGAACCCTTGACAGTTGGAATTCGATGAAGAGTACATTGAAACATTGCTGTCCAGACACAATTTGCTCCACAGCAGATTGCATGGTGTATGTATGTCTTCACTAGTCCAATTGGTGCCGAAAAGTAGGACGTCAAACATTATTTTATTTCAACTATGTGTCAAACTCAGATTTTACTATACATCAGTTAGATTCACAACACATATATTTACTCAATATTTTGTTTGAGGGGAAAAAAATACATCTTACCTCAGATTCCAGTTCATTGTCCAAGAAATCAAAACCTTTAAATGTCATCATTAGCTCATTACCACTACTATCATGTAATAAACCTTCATCTATCAAAATAATAAAATATATATTACAAGTCATTATTAGCTGATTATGCTACTTTCATCTATAAAACAGCTATACATTGGCTACTTCTAAAATTAAAAAAAAAGACTATTCCATAGTTTTAGCAGCCATGGGCCACTGATTTGTAAGAAAATTGGAGAATTAAATTTTATTTGATTCGATTTACTAATATTTCAGTTGTTTGAGTGCAATGGGATTGGGAATCAGGCTTTGAGGAAGGAACTATAAAATCCACAATAAAAACAGGAATAATAAATATCTGAGGGTATGATAACGGCAATAATAAAATAGGATTATCTAAGGGTATGAAAACAGTTATAATAAAGTATCATTATTTGAGGGAATGAAAACAGGAATAATAAAATAGGATTACTTGAGGGTACTTCTGGTAATGATGCTTCTTCTCCACTTGATGCTACACTCTGTTGATGATCTAATGTATCACTTGATTGGCTGAATATCACCTGAAATAACCAATCATTAATTAAACAACCTGATCATCAAAGGAAGACGTGTACCATGGATCGTATCTATAAGCTTATAATCTTTTCGAGGCATTTACATAGTAAATGATTTAATGAACTATAATACTTGCTTGTGAAAAACAGCTACGTAACTAAATTATATTATAGCAGCTGTCTTCCATAAGTATGTATCATATTTCATTATATCAGCTTACAAAATATCACCTTTCTTTGCCATCTTAAATAATGGACCGTCACCAAATTTCAACACTTGCATCCAAACAAATAACCTGAAGAACTGGGAGGGTGGGGTTGAATGACACCACCGATAGAATATAATAAATTAAATGTCGGTTATTATCAAATCATTAACAGAATTATGTCAACATTTTCTTCGTCGGTGGCTGTGTCAAGATTATTCCTTGGAAGCAAGTGTTGAAATTTTGCGACATTCCAAGACTATAATTTGCTTGGAGATATATTGCATAAACTTCTATAAGTTTGGATATGTTTTCATATCAATAGGCTATTGAATAAATATACAAAGTGATGATGTTACCCCACTCACACAGGTAATCTTAAATGGAATAACTTAATAATGAACTTTCTTTAATATATGGTATAATACAAATTATTATTCATATTCAAATATAACACATTTTTATTTATATGTTTAAAACTGGTAAAAAAAAAAGCTCAAAGTTAGAAATTTTTTCAAGAGCATTTAGAACACTTAAAAGTGTACAATTATACAAGTGGAATATCATTCTGCAACTTAAAAAACAAGAAAAAACATACATTTTGCTTTGTTTGGTTCAAATAAATAAATTTTCACCGAAAATTATTCAAAAATCAGCTTTTACTAAATTGATTGAATCGCAGATGTGAGAACATGAGTCGACTTGAAATATTTATTGCGTCTCGAGACTTGACTTAGACTCGGTAGCCATGGCAAACTTGCGACTTGAAAGACCTAACAAATTGAAGCAAAAACATATTTTATTGAAAGGCAGCTGATGGGTCCTATCGTATTATGGGATCCTAATAAGTTGCAAAATTAAAGCCTATGTTGATTTGCTGACTTATCTGATGAACTGATGACTTGTGGGACACCTGGGCTTTGTGAAGACTTGGGACTCGAGTTGGTACCAAAGTCAGCGACTTGGGACTCAAACTCGGACTTGAAGTGCTGCGACTTGGGACTCGACTCAGACTCGAGATCCAGCAACTTGTTCCCACATCTGTTAAATCATACTATCTTTGTTAAAGATTAATCTATATGGTAAGTCCATTATGTCGGGACAGGACAATTCAAACCAGGTACAAATTTATGCAAAGTCTGACAGTGAAGGTCAGCGACAAAAAAACTAAAGGTACCCAAATACCTCAAAACATTTACCAATGTGCAAGCTTGAATTGATCTACAGCCTAACTCTATAAGGGCATTTTAACCTAAAAGCTCTATATATTTATGTAGCAATTAATATTTGTCTTGACTGTCGTATAAATTAACTATTTTATTTGCAGTGAGTGAGTGAACTTTACAGTATTTTTTCTTGATATGGATTGAAAATAAATATAATATAACTCAATCAATACATAGTTTCAAATTATAACAAAACTGATATCTTAGGAAAATAAAATCAAAGACAACCATTGAAGGCATGAAATAATTTTGCAGCTGAACACAAGATACCATCACCAACTGAAGCACAAGACCCAGAATGATACAATGTCGAGCCTGTTTGGGGCACATAAAATATATTAAGACTGAAGTTTATCTGTTTAATTTATATAATGTACTAGTCGAATGATAAATTCACAGAATATGTAAATTGTTTTATTCAAATTTACTTGGTATTTATTTGTTTATGACAATAAGGGGGGTTGGGTGGCCGAAAGACTTCTGTGTGCGCGTTACATCATAAGGTTCGTTATTGAGTCAAGTGGTGTGGTTTTGATTCCCCGCTTGTACATGACAAGGAATAGGGTCGCCTGTCTAATCTTGTGGGTTTTCCCCTGGGTCAACCGGTTTCCTCCCACTGCTAAAGACCCCTACGTGCAAGCGAATTATTGAAATAAAATTAAACCATGTGTTAATCCCAAAATGACCTAGTTTGTGTCGAGTGGAGGTTAAACTTTATTCCTCTTTCTCTAACTTGTGACAATGAAGTAAAACTATGGAAACACAGACTCGACAAAAAAAAACACCTATGAAAGTGGTTGTATATATTTTTAAGAAGCGGACCAAGAGGTAGATGGTGAAAGAGATTTATTAGGTAACCGCTTTCTTACCTTATTATCAATAACTGTATCCTAACAGTGGCAAGGTAAACAAACGGTCACTATAAATACCACCATGTTATATTGGATATTTTAAAATCTTTCATCATTTATAATTAATGAAGAAAATGATGGTTATAATTTATGAATGATGGTTATGAATGATAGCAATTAGTATTGGTTATGTTGATTATGAGGAGAATGTTGAGTAGTACAGATGAGAACATGATGAAAATTTGTGACGTGTGTTTTGATTGTGTGACCAGGTCCAATGTCACAAAAGGGTTAAAATGATACGTATGAATTGACTAGGATGACCAAAACGACTATTTCTTTTTAATGAATGACAATAATGATGATAATTGGTATTATATGGTATGATGATGGAATTATATGATATGATGATAATTGGTATTATATGATACAATGATAATTGGGCCATTGGTATGATGATAATTGGGCCATTGGTATGATGATAATTGTTATTATATGATATGATGATAATTGTTATAATATGATATGATGATAATTGTTATAATATGATATGATGATAATTAGTATTATATGATATTATGATAATTGGTATTATAATATGATATGATGATAATTGGTAAATGATATGATGATAATTGTTATTATATGATATGATGATAATTGTTATTATATGATATGATGATAATTGGTATTATATGATATGACGATAATTGGTATTATATGATATGACGATAATTGGTATTATATGATATGATGATAATTGGTTAGGTATTATATATGATATGGTGATAATTGGTATTATATGATATGATGATAATTGGTATTAAATGACAATGATGATGTTGATTAGTTTTAATGAATTGAATGTTCAACAATTGTGATAAAAACCATGACTAGAATGATGATTAACATAAATAAATTAAGGTCAAATGTGATGATTATTAATTGATGATTATTAATAATTTGATTAGCATCAAAATGGATGATAGTCAACTTAGATTCATCTAGTTTCAGATGTTAAAGATTTTGATCCTTTGCCAAGATGGGAAAGATGGTCTTATTATAATGTACAGCCTTAGAAATAATTAACTTGTTATTCTTTTGCATTCTAAAACTTCATGAAAGGTTATAAATGAATAGACTACAAATTTAGCTCAACAATCTTTCGGATTTTGCATTTTTAATTCAGAAATAATGGTCATGGACAGATCAGATCTAGATTTTGTTTTGAAGCAGAAATTCGCAAATACATGTACGTATATTTTGTGAAACCATATCAGAGATTTCATTTCTCCTCTATAAAAGCTTTTACACTCAAACTGATTAAGCACTGTGAAACCCCTCCAACATTGCTGCTATATGTATAAGAAACATTCCTATGATATCTTATATAACCATTCTTAATACTTACTGATGGACTTTTGGGTAAACCAACTCTCTGACCAAAACATGTCAAAAGATTCACCAATCTTTCTCTTGTTCGTGCCTGTAAAATGCAAATTTAAAAAAAACTCACATAATTTGAAAGAGATTTGTGGCATATTGACCTTTTGGAGAGAGATAAATCCTGATAGCAATGTCATCTAAATAAATTGCGTAGAGTTGCTCAAGTAATAATTAGCCGATATCATAATCCTGGATATCACTGGACTCCAAACCTTGGGCTAAGAAAAACCTTGTGATTTTTCAATCCAGGGTCTCAATTGTCAGGGATAGTACCAGCCTTTCTTGGATGGTTAAAAAAATTAAGGTCCTCCCGAGAACCCTTGAAAGATGTAATTTGATGAAGAGTAGGCAGAAACACTGCTGTCTGGACAAAATTCACCTCCTTAGCACTGCACACATGACCATAGAAAACAATTATCATATGTTGATCACAACTATGGTGTCGACGAGGGGTTATGACACAATTTCTAACATATAGATTCTGTAATAGTTATTAAAAAAAACATTACAATGGTGTATCACATGGATATTGGCACGATTAAGTTTATGTTAATTTCATAATTTATTATCTTTTTGTTACCATATATAGTATTTTCAGTTCTCAATTATTGTATACCTGTGAGGCTTGTGGTCTTCTCCATACAGAATCTATATCTTGGTTGTTAGATGGTTTCCTTGACAACGAGACTGTTGATGATGAGGATGATGGACTAGCTGATTGGTTTGTCTCTTCTAATGTTTTCGTAGTATCTCCCCCAGCCAGGTATTTTCGCCCTATAATTGGTGTCTTCGAAAGGTCAACCGAAAAATCTAGAGTTCGTCCTGGAATACAAAACCTTTAGCTTAATAGCGAGCAAGAGAAATTGGGTTTAACGTCCACTCAACACAAAGTAGGTCATTTTAGGTCATTTCGAGACTAATATATGTTTTAATTTTATTTTCAATAATCCGCTTGAACGTAGGGGTCTTTAGCTGTGGGAGGAAACCCTACTCCTTGTCACCTAGAAGCAGGGAATCGAAACCACACCACTTGACTCAATAACGGACCTTATGATCTAATGTGCATGCGTTAAACCATTTGGCCACCCAATCCTCCTAGCTTAATAGACAATTCTCTCAAAAGTTATAAACTGATTTACTCAAGTTTAATTTAAAATAGAATTTCAGTGATAAATTTCTGGAAGAAATGGAGATTGAATCAAGAAGCCACTGAAGTAAAAAGATTAAGTCAAATTTGATTGCATGAAAAATCAAAAATTATTAAAGCTGATAAATTTCAAACTAGCCTATAATACGACTACTATATAGGTTGACCTGTGTAAAAAGATTCATAAAGTTATCTTGAATGACTTATGAGATGTGCTCCAGAATATAAATTTTATACTAAGCCTAATTGGTTTCTATAGAAACACAAAAAAAAAGTAAATCTGCAAAATTTCAATTTAACTTAAAGGCACAACTACTATAATAGGTCAATATGTGTACAGAGGATGGATATACAGAACCAATTTCAATATCCCTCCCGAACTTCGTTCGGCGGGGGACAATAAATTTACCTGGCAGTTCCTTGGGTATTCTTGTGAAAATCTCAGCCTCAGCAAAAGATGTATGAGAGAAGACATTTAATTCACTACTAATACTGGAACTAACAGGTGGAGCTGCTGCTAGAGTAGATGAACGGGTGACGGCTAACTTCAATATCTTTAACGCCTCCTTGAAATTAGCTCCCTGTACATGTTTAGATGCTGAGTTAAAGAGTTCTGAGTTGAGTAAACTACTAGGTGTTGAGTTAATATCTATATAATGAACCATACAGTGTAATATCTGTAATACAGCTGATTGATACATTGATGGCCCTTTCTCTAATATCTGAAACAGTTGTAATATAAAATAAACATGTCTATTTTCTAATATCTGTAACAGTCATATGGTAATCACGTCTCTTCTCAGAAACAGTTCAATATGATAGAGAGAGAGAAATGGGGTTTAACGTCCACTTGACACAAACTAGGTCATTTCAGGACTAACACATGGTTTAATTTTATTTCAATCATTCGCTTGCACGTAGGGGTCTTTAGCAGAGGGAGGAAACCGGAGGACCCGGAGAAAACCCACGAGGTTGGACAGGCGACCCTACTCCTTGTCACGTACATCCGGGGAATTGAAACCCCGCCAGTTGACTCAATGACAGACCGTATGATACAGCGCGCGCGTGCTAACCATTCGGCCATCCACCCCCCCCCCCAGTTCAATATGATAATCATGTCTATTCTCTGAAACAGTTCAATATGGTCAACATGTCTATTCTCTGAACCTCTAATATCTGAAACAGTTCAATATGGTCAACAGGTCTATTCTTTAATATCTGATACAGTTAAAGATAAAGATGTTGTGTGTTATATGCTGATAATGATGATACTCAGTTAATAACAGTGTATACTAATAATACAGACACTCAGTATACTATATATAGATCTTTCACTTTTCGTATAACTGTATTGTCAAATACAACTATATACACATTAAAACATATGTGTTTTTAATCTCAATTTGAATGATTACCTGTTCATTCAGTAAATGTGGTCATCTTAAGAGCTAAATGACACTAATTAGGCCAATACAGATGCTTTCTTTTTTTAATTTCAAAATGTATACACAAAACCTTGGTTTCCATCCGACAGACTAGGAGCCAGGTCCTCTGTTCCCCACCACTGACAAGAAGAAACCAGAAATCAGAAATTGTAAAGAACCTTCACGTCAAACACCGGGATCAAACCCTTGACCTTTAGTGCCATATATATGGTATAGTAACTGTGTGACACGAATGAATGTAGATATAAATATACTTACCTCTACTAAGAATGTAACCATACTAACAACAGCAGCTGAATATACATCATGTAGATATTTAACAACACATTTCGTCCATTGAAAACTATCTTTACCACCAAACGTACCACGACTATATAAGGTCATCACAGTACCCAGATTATTTAATCGTTCAGATTGTTGATTACACATCTACAAATAAAACAATTCCAAGGTCTCAACCATCTTTCCAAGTCTATTTAATATAATTACACTTAACTTCAATGTCAGTTAAAAAGAGGCACATGAGCTGTTTTTAGTGCCCTGAAATGTTCCCAGTAGTGATACTTGGACAAAATAAAAAGACTAAAACAGAAACCACCCTACCTCATCAGATTTTTAGGAACTGAGAACGAGGACATTTTTTTGTTGACATTTTATATTTCATTCTATAAATTCTATAGTTACCTGAGCCACATTATCAGCAGCATCACGACACGTCTTATTATTCTTCTCATAATTATGTACCATATATGGTAGCATAGCCATAACATTCATGGGAAAACCTACAAGATAATGTTTATTTCTTATTAAACACCTTAATACTGAATAAAACCAAATGCTCCATCTAATTTAAACTAGTTGATATTTGGTTCCTCACTCTATTAAAGTCTAAAGAAATGTTGAAGAGGAGAGTGTTTTGGGTATGCGATGACAGCATACATGTATAATAATATTATATCACATATTTTGATTGGTAGGTTGATTCAGAATTGACCAATCCCATTCTGCACTATACTGAAAGCACTTTATAAAGGAATGTCTTTGTACAACAGACAAGTGTAGTAAGTTCAAAATAAACAAAAGAAAGGAAGGAACTTTTGGAATAATTCCTGTATCAATCTATCAAAAATCTCAATTTCCCAAATACCAGTAAATTCTTATCTTACCCCACATTCCAGTTGGATCCATGATAGGTGCGTTAATACATAATACAACTCGTGCTAACAGTGACCAGGTGGCTTCACACGCCATGTTCGATGTACAACCCTTCAATAATAATGTTTGTAGACCAGGAAAGTTGGGCCATTTGATCTGCTGCAGTATCTTCTCTAACTTTTCACGACATTCTGGTCTTTCTGGTTGTAGATGACATAACATCTGTGATTAAAAATTTATCCAGTATTAAAGATATTCTCTGATTTATGGAAAAACATAATGTTGATTTGTTCTGGCTTTATTTAGACAGGAAATGACAGGGGTTTATTTTCTGAATCAACTGCCCATTCAACACATATATCAAATCCTGGAACTGGTTAGCAAGGCATTGCTTTATTGATTGAGCCACAGTGGCAAATATTCAAGCACTTGCTAGCCATCATCACAGACACGGTTCTTACTCTCAGTCAGCACCTTCTTACCATCATCCCAGACACGATGAAGGTGATAAATTTTCTGTCTTGTCCTTTGTATCACAACTAGCTCTTGTGACATGTTTTCTAGAAACATTTGTTGCCATATGACCATAGATGGAAGCAGACCTTAAGCACCACAAACGAGCGAACGAACGAACAGCTGATATTTTGATATATGATTGTGTAGTCTGCTGAGTATTTAGACCGATTACTTCTGATTTCAAGATTGTAGATTGTCTGTGTTCATGTATGGTTTGTTCTATGTTTTGTTTATTAGTTAAACTACAACGCCCACTTTCTATGATTAAATATTTAAAAAAAATTGGTTTTAACCCAACAAGTAGTCAAAAACTTAGCAAATAATGGAAGACTTACATTTAGCTTGATTTAGATTTGGATTATCAAATTCGTTTATTAACATCCCCAATCCAACCCATAAATCACAGACCAAAAAAAAAAGAAATTGACTAAACATTCACCTTATCTAATAGTCGTACTGCTAATAAGAATTCATATTCGTAGTCTGATTCCAGTAGTGAAACACAGATCCAGAACATCTGTGTCAATAGAGTTATCTTATCTTCCGTACCATTCTGGTCGAGATTCTTCAATGACTGAGCACTACGTGATCTCGCTAGATTTGATCTACGATTATCAGCATCTGTACTACTTCTATTCCTTAAATCAACTGAATATAAAATAAGACCATATATATAAGACCATACAACAAAATATTCTGGTACATAGATACTCTTGCTTCACTTAAACAGGGTCAAATGACATTTATATTTCAAAAAATCAAAAACAATCTCATTAATTATCTCATGTAAATATTTTCCCCACCAGTTACATGAAATGAAATGGGGTTTAATGTCCTACTGTTCTGCTCCCACTGGACTAATGAAGACAGCTATATGCCTTGACAGCGGTGCTAAGAGGCACATTTTGCCTTGACAGCGAATTCCAACTGCCAATGGATCTTTTATGTGTACGCCAATGTGTACATGGGACCTCGGTTCTTCATCCCACCCGAATGACTAGACAGCTGTCCTTGTCACTCTCACTCCTGCACCAGACAAGGAGAAACCACGCCAGAAAATCCTGATGAACTTTCTTGGCCAACACTGGGAGCAAACCCGCGACCACTAGACTAGCGAGCCAGTCTCTTACCCACTTGGCTCCCACATCAGTTACAGGAATTAACTCTATAACAAATTTTTGAATGAAACCGGAAGTATCAAGTATGCAACCCTGATAAATGTTACTGACAAACATGAAAAAAACTGGATAATCATACATTCCTATAAACAACATGATGCAGTGCCTTGAATTGTGATGTTTATGAGAAGTCATTTAGCCCAGTAGTAAACCTTTGACAAAATAAAAACAAACAAATCAAAAACCTCCTTCCACATCAGAGTTTTGGGATGGATTGTTTGAGAATCCTTAAATCTGAATAGTTTCAATGTCAACCTGATTAAATATTAATTCCAACTTACTGGCAGCTGCTCGAGCTTTCTGTGTAATCACAGCAACAGAGTAACTTGTACTGCGACAATGATGAGGTAAAGCTTGTTTTGGTGCCGTCATACCTGGTCTTCTACCATCAGAATCATTGGCAAGATTAGGTGTGGACATAAACAACTCCCTCATAAAATCTATAGGACGGAACTCCAGGTCGAGATTATCAACAGCAGCCTCTAAGGTCAACATTATTTCTGTTACATAACCCTGATAAATAATACAGTTAACATTTATTCTACAAAGATAAAACTACTACATTGACGGCTAGCCCCCGGATCCATGCACTTAATCTGATATAAACATTTTTTTGCGTATTGTGGCTTGTCCGTAGATTCTTTTGTGTAATTGTGTGTGGTGCAATTCCCCTGCACTTACTATTATAATGTGGTTTCTTACACAGAGTTGTTTGTCATTATGCGAGTGCTTTGAAAATTCAAATCAGTTCACATCAGTATTAATATCCAGTTTCACATCTGTATTGCTTGTCATGTTAGTTACTATAATTACACTTTTAAATAAATAAAGATTTATGATTTTGCAGTTTTATAGGCCTCTTAGATAAAGACTGTTTGATTTTGTAGTTTCTTTTTGTAAAGTTTCAGAGGCCTCTAAAATTGCTTGATTTCTTTAGTTTCAGATGCTTCTTAAATAAAAAATTTTTTTTGATTACTTTTTTAATTTCGGTTGTAGCTCAAGCACTAGTTAGTTTTAATGGCTATAGCTTATCATGGACCTGTGTCATACATGTGTTTTAACATTCAGCATAATAAGGTTATGACATACCTGCATATCTTCACCTTGTTCAGCAACAGTTTCAACCAGACGTGATAGAATATCAGACAACATCTGCGTGGAGGGACGAATTCTTAAAGCTCGTAAAATCTGAATAAACAATATATATAAAGCACTGAGCAATCAAATTACCGGTACTTAATATTTGTTGTTTATTTCTTGCTATGTCCATGTATTTTGTCTTGTCCGCAGGTTTGTCTTGTTGATTTTGTTTTGTGTGTAGTGCGGTCCTCCTGCACTTACTATTTTTACTGACCAGAAAATGCTTATTATCGAACTTAGTCATGGTAATGAAACAATACAAAACCCCCACTCAATTATAAGCACAGTTATCATGTTCCATAGCATTGTCAAATTAGATTGTTTATCTCTCCTTAACCTAAGCAAAAAAATCATCATCGAACTCAGTCAAGATATTCACCAAATTATCACCTACACCAATTAGTCTATGCAATTAAATATTATGGTTAACTTTACTGATTTTTGTAGGAATCGTTTAATTAATTGAAAGATTTGAAAGACATCTCTTCTACCTGAAATGATCTACCAGCATAATGTCTAGATGAACAAGATAAAGCTAGCTGTAATGCCGTCTGGGACCAACGTTGTTCAACTAAGGCTAATGGATAAATCTCTTTAAAACAACGAACAACACATTTCAGGAAATATTCTAAATGAGTTGCACTTTGAGTATTCAACATCTTTGGTGTGATGTCATCACAACTCCACAATGGACGACCTCTCCTGGAAAAAATAATAAAACAAATTCAACAATTATTACAAATTCATAACAAGTCCAATAACTTTGAGTACAGGTTGGTTATAATAAGGTTTTCAATAAATTCATCCATTTTTGAAAAGACAGGGTGAAAACTGAGGGGATTTTCGATTTGGGTCCCATCTGAACGACTCGCCAATTGCTCCGTCTAGAACAACTGACAAGACGGAATCAGGATGGAAAATCCTGAGGAATTTTTTTGACCAGCACCAGGATCTAACCTGCGACCTCTTGGTTAGGGTGTCAACACAATACACACTGAGTCACAGTGGCTTCTGTAATTTCAAGAGAAAGTATTACAGTATGGGCAAACTCGATCAAAATGTGTTTTAGTGTAGATGTATGTAAAAGAGTTAGATTCGATCCTCTGTCGATGAGGTTCAGGTGATAATGATTCGCAGTGGAGAGACTGACCACATGTAGAACATGATGTGTGTAAAATATGGTTGTATTTTATCACAAAGCCAAATGAGACTGACAAATTGAAATATAATATTAGAGATTTTACTTTTAAAATAAACAACAAAATGGAAGAGAGAGAGAGAGAGAGAGAGAGAGAGAGAGAGAGAGAGAGAGAGATGTGGTTTAATGTCCACTAGACACAAACTATGTCATTTCAATAATTCACTTGTGCGCAGGGGTCTTTAGCAGTGGGAGGAAACTACACGACCTGGAGTAAACCCACAGGGTTTGGCAGGCAAGGCTACTCCTGAACACGTACAAGTGTTGGATTGAAACCACACCACTTGACTCAATGACAGTTCTTATTATCTAAAGGGTATGCGTTACACCACTAGACCACCCAACCCCCTATAAATAGAAGACTTACTTATTATCCATGAAATTTAGAATACATTGAGCCACTTCTTCTACAGTATTAAAACTATCAGGATCAGCCATTGTACTTGTTTCTGGTGTAATGGTGGCGCTACTATCTATACTAAATGTAGATCGTGCTATAATTTGATGTGGAAGGTTCGCCTCTCGAGGTGGGGTTTCTGATAAGAACAAAAAAAACCAATAAATTATTCTTATTGTAAAGAGATTTGTCTGAAGCCTATCTTGTGTAATAAAATTATAACTTATTCCAAAATTCAGTAGTAAAAACAAGATTTTAAGTTGAATAGGTGGTTTAATCATCATACAGTTTCAGATTATACAATACTTTTCAAATTATAAACAGAAATTGAATATTTTTGAATATTTTAATCCACGAATAAAGAGAAGGATAAAATTACTGTAAATAGTTAAATGGTTGACAGCAAAGCAAGCTGCTAAAATGTTTTTGTTGAGCTGTTGTTTTTAGAAATAAATTGTCTGGATACAGTCATATATGATTGATCTGTCAAAAATGGGATAACACACATTAGGTTAGCGTTGATGTATTTGATCAGACCTATTTGCTTTTTTTTAATAAACGTACATGTATATAGTCTATCATTCTATATTTAACCTATATTCTGGTATCTTGACATTGGAGAAAGGTCAATATAGGTCTAGCCTGTTCCTCAATCCCATTTTAAATGAAATAAAATATTGTTTATACAAGAAAAATTTGCGATATTTTAACCAGATTCACGAGTATGGAAACATTGTCGTTTTAATACTCACCTACAGATATAACCGAATCTCTATCTTCTGATATTATTTTGACTGTATCTGTTGGATTTCTACGATTCTCCAACAATAGTCTGGCTATATCACTATGGTCATGTGATGATGCTAATAGTAGGAGATTCAATAACAGTTTCTTACAATGTTCATATACCAACGGTCGACTATGATCCAAACCTGAAAAAGTTATTAGAATGAAATATCATTTTTTGGGTTTAATTTTTAGAAAGTAATTGTTGTACTGGAAGTGTCATATTGTTTTATATTGTATACCATTGTGGTCTGAAACCGTCTGTTTAAGTAGACACAAGTTGTCTCCCTTATGATGTAGTTCTTCTGCCTTTTTGAGTAATAAAGTGATTGGAATTTTAACATGGAGAATGGTTGTGTTTTCCTTTTCAAGAATACGAATATAACAGAAGGAATAACAACTGGCCCGATGCCTTTGTAATTAGGTAAATATCATTTTTGGATTTAATTTGTAGAAAGTAATTGTTGTACTGAAAGACATAACACCTGGGATGCCTCTGTTGTTGTAATTAGATAAGGGGATACTGAAATGTCAAGTGGTAGTGTCAAAAATTATGAAGAACAGTGAATATATCATGTAGCAGAAATTGTGGTTATGTCTTACCAAGGAATATAAAGGGAGATGTAGATTGGAAATCGGGTAGGTTTGACTTACCAAGGAATATAACATGTAACATGAGTGGTAGATGTGGTGACCAATCAATCTCTAGACCATCTAATACAAGATCAGATAAAAACATTATAGCTATATTACTTCTGAAATATAAATAACAAAATACATATTTAATAATCCATTTTAAATCTATGTTAACAATTTGCATCAGATGTACACATGTATTACCTTAACATTCTTTCAGCTACTCTTTCTTAATAGAGTACACTATTCTAAAACATATGATTTCTTTATTATATCCTTCAACATAGCAGATAATCCAAACTTTTGTAAATTAATTATAAAGCTAAAACGCATTTAAAGTCACTGCATCTAATCGTTCACAGCTTAATCCACTAATATTTACTCAAATAAATAATTTAACATTTATGGAATTTAACTGATTTTGGACTGATATTATTTTTAGATATTACTTTTTCACAAAATTGTAGATTAAAAATCTGCCACTTTTAGATTTTTAAGAGAAACATATATGGCTCTACTAAGTGATGTAATTTGATGTAAATGTTTAATAGTTTTATGAAGAGAATAGTATACCTATGAAAACCTGGTGTTGAAGGAAGATTTTCTGGTAGAAATTGATTCAATGGTGCGAAGTAACCACCATAAGCTGGCATGGGTAGAGGATAAGGTAATGGAGATTCACTACGTCGGTGTTCTCCTGGTTTAGTAAATGTTGGAGTCGGACCACGTATTTCTTCTTCTACAATTAAATATAATAAACAAATATTTCAGACAATGTAGGAAGAGTAAACTATACAATGATGAAATGAAATGGGGTTTAATGATCTGATGTTTTGCAAAATGTCTATAATGGAAATACTTTGCCAAGACAGCAGTGCTATAGCTTGTTTCAAATTCCAACTATCAAGGGATCATTAGCGTGCATTACCAATTTGTACCCAGGACCACTGTTAATGCTTCCATTTGAAGGACCAGATTCTTTTTCTTGCCAGGCCCTCCATCCTGTACCAGTGAAAGGGAGAAACCAGGCTGGAAAATCTTCCAACAGTTAAAATGGATACATATACCCAGAGGATATATAAACCTTTGAAGAATTCATTTAAGAACAATTCTTATATTTCTCATGACTAAAATCAAACGGTTAGAGAAACAATTCACATCTGATGTTGGTAATTGTATAATTCTAGATTTCAGTAGTAAAAGGTGACGTATTGACTGTGTGAAAATTGACGGCCATTTCTCAATTTTATCTTCATTTGGGCCTATGATGTTTCCAAGACAGTGACTTCCACAAGTACAACCAAAATGCTTCTAGGATTCAATCCCGAACAAGACATTAGGTTTAGCCCACTGTATCTAGAACAATGATCGATCAGGTTGTATAAAACTATTGTAGGCCTACCTGTTGTTAGTGTAACTTGATCTTGAGTAGAACTGACCGTACTTGTTATACTTCTTAACGATGCTGTTGAATTCGTTCTTGTTGTACTATAAAATACAAGGAAACATATGATAGAGATGACAAGCGTGGTATACCGGTAGATGTGTTTTCGTGGTTATGAAGTAAAAGTCCATGACAATATTTTTTTTACATCATTCAGATAATATAATGATAAAATTTCCTATTTTAATGAAAAATATCAGGAAATTGTTAGTTTTATGAAATCAAATATTGCAATATTTTTTTTTTCAATCTTATAAAGTGAGGCCTGGTCTGTTATTCAACCATGTTTTGAGGGGGTGACAGCAAAAATATCACACTGTAAGTATGTCCAATAGTAACAATTGATTTCAGTCTTTGGAGATTGAAGGTTCTTTGTTTTATAGATTGACATTAACTAAATTGACGAAAAAAAGAGGACAACTCTTATAAACAATGGTTGTGATCATTCATTCGGAATGTTTTTACTGGAACCCAAATATGCTGATTAACAAGTTTCGACTGAAAGCAAAAAAAAAGCTGCAAATAATCTGATCATTGCTTTAAGTTTTTCTCTATAAAATATTAATTTAAAAAATTAGATAATATTACCCATCACTAGGTAGATCTTCATTAGTACTATGTCGTTTAGTATGGAGTATCCCTTTTTCTAACTGATCTGCTGTTTGACAGACAATCTTCTCATCATCAGTGGTATTATTTGTTGTTGGTATTTTTCTCATGGGAGATAAACGATAATAGGGTGGAGTCTGTGTTCTCTCTATACTCATGTTTAACGTCTCTATACTCTATAATAGATTCAATGTTTACAATAAAATCAATCTGAACGTATACTCTAACATAATACCTAGAAAGTTATTTCCCATTAAGATTTAGGACTGGATAATCATCACGTCACAGGGCTCGCTCTAAGGCAAATCACTAAACACTCTATGAAGATGCAATGATAGTTATTTATTTTCATAACTACTTTAGGATTTGATTACAGTCTTTGGGGGATTTTTACTTTTATATACAAATTAATTATCATACCTGTAGTTCATTCATCATTTCATCAACTAATTTTTCTGGTTTAGCTCTACCAAGGTAACTTAAAACTCTCTTTACCTGCAATAAATATAACAGATTCCATATTTTTACATTATTGTTATCTTGGTTAAAATAATATTTTCTCACCAGGAATGCTTTACATACTAGAAAAATATTTGAAAAAAATAAATGTTTTTGTTCTATTGCTTGAACAATGTTTTTGAATAAGAAAAGAAATGCAGTGTACTATCAGGGAAATGCTGCCATAGAATTGGCAGTTGGAATTTGATATAAGAGTAGGCCATAGCGTCACTGTCCGGGCAAAATTTCCTTCATAATACACTGTATGGCATATGCCTGTCTTCATTGGTTGAGTCAGAGCAGAACAGTAGGACGTTAAACCCCATTTCATTTCTTATTACAATTTCCAAATGTCAAGGAATCTTTAATATTTTGCCTATTGTATACATGGTCCCTTGAGTTTTTGTCCCATCCTAATGACTAGATGATTTTCCTTACAAAGTTCACAACTGAGACCAGACTGGAAAATGACAAATGGCTTTGTGTAAGTAAGTAAGCCATCACCATACTTACCAAGCCACTGTGGCTCCCAGTGGCTCACAAAAAAAACTTAAAAGCACTATATAATATTTAAGATACTTACATATAATAATAAATCTGAAGCTGCTACATTAGTTATTATCACTAGATAACGTATAATGACTTTCAGATTATTCGGCCATGTTAACAAGGATGACCACAGTGATTCTATCTCGAATGGATGTTCATCTCCAAACTAAAAATACAAGTATAAAATCTGAATTATTAAATACCAGTAACACAGAATTTGTATAACAAACATTAAATGAAATGGGGTTCAAAGTTCTGATCTGACTGGTGTATGCCAGACAGTGTGCTATGAGGGAAATTTTGCCTGGACAGCAGCGCTACGGCCTAATCTTATATCGAATTGGAACTGCCAAGGGTTTTTTTTATGTGCACGCCAATCTGTACACTGGAGCTCGTTTTTCGTCCCATCCGAATATAGCACAATTGAGCTGTTTATATGGATTATTCTAAGGACATTCCCTGCCAATACAGAGATCAAACCAGGAATCTGTTTGGAAGTAGTTTCCGAGCCACTAGTAATCAAAATGTAACGATATATTTTATGTTTATGCTCAAACAAGGATTATGTTCAAGACAAAAGGGGTGAGTGGTGGGGGATGTAGAAAAATATTGTTTCCTTTTTTATCAACACCTAAGAATTTTGGCTTGGATTCTGTAAAACATGAAAACTGAACATGATTAATGATAGCCTGGCCCCGGTTTCACAAAGTATTTTCAGATTTAAGTTAAGAATTTACTCAACTTTCAATCTCTGTTCATGAGAAATATCTTTGATCCAGAAACACAGAACTTTATTATAACAAAAAAAGTTTTATAAAGGGCTATATTTTAGTTAAGATATGGTGAATAATTTTGAGTAAATTCTTCCGAGAATGTTTTCTGAAACCAGAGCCTGAAATTCATGATGCACACAAAACTTCAGTTAATATCTCAAATCGACTCCCATTTTTTTCATCTTGTGTTCTACTTACTTTAGCAGTGAGAAAGAAGATATTATTGAGGGCCATCTCTGTAGCTTGTGTTGATCCCCACCCATCACCTCGTAGTGATGTCATAAAACTATCTGTCTGGTTGTCTTGGAGACGTGTCAGGAACGTGGATAAAGGATTGGATGGTGGCAGCGATGGATCGACCAACTCCATATTGTGTAACCATGGTAAAAGACATTTTAATAAAGTTTGACGAACAGATGGTCGAGCTGTTTGAAATCGATGAGTTATTTCTGAAATGACAACATACATAGACATGATAAAATACAATTATCTGCTGTCTTTTTGTAATCCTGAGTGTGAGTGTTTGCCTTATCAGCTGTAATACAGCTGGAGTGGTAGTCCTCTTTAATTTAAGGCTAAGGCCCGTATTGTCGTCTTCTGTACTTGAATCCAATTTGATAAATTTCAGTATTTGTTAAATATATGAGGATCCAAATTAATGACATACGTTCAGTGAATCATCGCAATATTTAAATGAAATGTGGTTTTATTGTTCTTCTTTTCTACATCAACAAGGCTAATGAAGACAGGTGAACCTACGTTTTTCATATAATCTGAATGTCTAGACAAAATTCCATGCCATGTCCTGGAAAATCCAGAGGAAATTTCTAAGTCAACAATTGGATCTCCTGGTCAGTTATCCAGCAGACAAGCACCATACTCACCATGGCTCCCCTAACAATATATATCCTAATCATTACTGAAGAAGGACTCCTCTTATCCCAAACGTTTAATAAAACTCTTGATCACACCTATGGAGTTCATCTGACTTATACTGGTTACAGGGGTTGTGTTTCATCTCACATTAATAAAACAATTAAAATGTTATCCATACCTGATATCATGGGAAGTGTAAGATCAGGATGTATATTAGCCAACTGTTCTGATAGGTACACCTGTGAGTGACAGTACGATACAGCCAATAGGATGTCATTTAAAGGAAGACAGGGCGGAGCTTGTTCTTCAGCATTCTCCATAACTATTGGTATTTCTTGGAAGAATCTTGTGTCCAGTAGATGCAGAAGCATTTGTGCTGTTTCGTGTGTCTGAATTCTGGGATTGCCAACATTTAGTACCGCTAAATTCAACATGGCCACATGATCACATGGATATTCTCTGTTAAATGAAAATTGTCAAACATTAAATATTTAGGTAATGAAACTAGTTAATTCTATGTGAAAGGCTCTATTTACCTAATAAACTATAACACATATTGAGAGAGAGAGAGAGAGAGAGAGAGAGAGAAAGAGAGAGAGAGAGAGAGAGAGAAAGAGAGAGAGAGAGAGAGAGAGTTTAATGTCCACTTGACACAAACTAGGTCATTTTGGGACACACAAGGTTGGACGGGCGATCCTACTCCTCGTCACTTACAACTGGGGAATCGAAAACACGCCAAATGACTCAATGACAGATCTTATGATACAATGCGCACGCGCTAACCATTCGGCCATCCAACCCCGCTACACATATTTATAGAAGACAGCTATTATATTTTGACGACATCTTGAAGAGTATTAACTTGATAGTGTTCTTTACACTATCCAGGTACTAAGTGTTGTTAAAAGTTTACGATATTTACCTAGTTTGAAAAACAGCAGCTAAAGCATTAAAACATCCGTCTGCTACCTCGTTAGAACCTGTATAACATCTGTCAATCACCCAATCTAATAAACTTTGTACGTCCGAGTTAAACTCTAATAATAAAAATACTGTCTCCTTCGCTAAATCATAGATCTGAAAAGTATGAAGGACATCTCTGTCAAGTTCTTTTAAATCAGTGAAAATCTAATAATATATCTAGCCCCTAAAAATACAGAATATAATGTATTAAAGATTAAATATTTTGTGAAACTTGATTGAGTCACCTAGTAATAATGATATCAACAATCCATAATGCATGATTTGGTTATCCTAGTTAAACTATTGAATATATCCAGTATCTGAATAACTGTTTCAAGAACCATTAAAATTAGAAATGATAATAATTTATTATGTTTTAGAGGAAAGTAAACATGGAATAACACACAGAAATATTTATTTTCATTATAGCACATAGTTAACTGATTGTGACATAAAAAATTATGTTGACAATTTCATTTAATAGTATGGTACTCCATATATTTATCAATAAATAATTTGTAGCTTAAATAATTATTTCCAATGCTTTTAAATCAAAATAACTAATTCTTTTTCTAGATATCAATTAATATATTTTTTTATCGGCAACTAACTATTTAAAACTCTATTATAGCGCTTTCTTATCATCCCTAGATTATTCTTTAATAAATAAAAGATGATTTGAATTAAGTACCAAATAAAGTCAAATGATTTCATATACCTGGTATGAAGAACAAATGAAGGATGAATGATGGGGCAATGAGAATCAACATAATTTGTTAAACAAAGCAAAATGATGGACAAAATATTGTTTTTGAAAACTAGATTTCTTTTGAGGTTTCCATTGATTTTTTTTCTTTTTGACGAATATAAATGTGTTGTAAAAATTTCAATATTTATTTTTCTATTCTAGTTTAAAGTCTCGGATTGTCATTTGTGGGACTGAAGAATCCCTTGGAAACTACAATATTGTGAAATTTGAATTTTTAATAGGAATATCAGTCTAAAAACAGTTCTAGTCCATTCAATATTTACAAAGATATATGGAATTGAAAATCTGTCAACAGCATCAATCAGACAATATAACGGAATACGGTCAAACCTTTGCTAAAATATTTTCACCAGTATCTTATTGATTAGATTGAATCCAAGCCACGAGAATATCCACCATTGATATTTTGATTTTGTTTTCTTAATTAAATTCTAAATAATCAATCAAGTAGGAGCCTAGTTTCCAAAAGCATGTTTCAAATGATGATCTGTGATCTAATGATGATGATGATGGAGACGATGATCAACTACAACAATTACATGTAAATGGGTGGGTTTTTTGTTGTGAAAACAAGCTTGTCTATTTCAATTATCAAGTTAACACAAATCAAAATTTATAAAAATAATAACAATTCATAGGTAGGGATATTAACTAGATGCACTTTCCATACTGAATAACCCAGTTGTTGAACGTTTATTTAATAACCTTTGTACATAATAACATTCAATTGGTTTTGACTCAAGTTACAAAATTTGATAAAAGCAGTTGTAATAAGGAACAGTTTCTAAAACATAATTATGGGTTATTCAAGATGTTTTTTCTTTTTTTTTTTAAATCAAGGGACCAATTTCTCAGAAACTTTAAACTACAATTTGAACTATGTCATTTGAAAATCAAAATTCAACAAATTAATCCACAGAATATATACATAAAAGTTCTTTTAAGCCTTTGCATTCATATACAAAGTTGCTTTTTGTGATCTTAAAGTGTATGTCAACTTAATTTATACTTTTATATCAACTAAAATTATACTTTTGTGATCATAATGTGTACATCGTGTTGATATTATCAATCTACAGTTTTTCTTAAAGAGGGTGTGGGGGTAAAACTAAAAGATTTAAATTTGATCATTGAGCGCTTTATGCACTCATCTCACTTAAACAGGCATTATGCAAGAGCTAATTCTACAGGTCGTTCTTTAGGCCTTATATGTTATATAAACTATTAATTGAACATTTATTAAGATCATAATCAAGTCTCAATGTCATTGGATAGGTCCGATTTTATGTAGATTAGAACGGTTCAGCGATTTAATGATTTAATCTAAAAATGGTGAAGCGAAGCTAAGCTTCAAACAACCAGTACGGTGGTTATAATCAGTGCACACATCTTGTCAAACCTTCAAAGGCTAATATCTTCGCTCAAAATAAAACAAGTAGAAAGGCAACCCCTATAACCAGAGAAGATAGTCGAACTCCTGGTAGATTATAAACTAATTTATTATAAACTTTTCGGACTAAAGGTGTCCTTCCTCAGTAATAAAATAATGTGAATGAAATTTTCAATATATTCATTTTGTATTATCTATTATTTCACTATTATAGCAAGAATGGCTAGCTCTTTATCTAAATCTTACATAATGTATCTGTAATTATGCTTTCTGAAGATTTTATTATTTATATTTATTATCTAGATGCAGAAAGGAAAGGAAATTTAACGTCCTACTAGGTGCAGGCTGCAGACAATGAATTTACTTCCCAAATGACATAGTTAATTAATCACATTTAGCTAAAGTTTCCAAGAAACAGAACAAAGAACAATAAAGGACCAGGTAAAAAAAAAAAAAAAATGAAACCTCCTGAAAGAAAGAAACGCTATAGAGAAGCACCACAAGAAATAAATATTAAACATGATACAAGTCAACTGGGATTGTAACAACAACATATTGCTAGTTTATATAGTAACTACTTTCCTTCTTCAGGCTGTATGTATACACTACTCCTACCTATAACTAGCATCAACACTATAATATTTAACTAAAATACGGTCAATATTCTATTCTTATCTTCATTATTTTTCTTTATTTCACTAAAAAAATGTCGATATTCTATTTCTAATGTTCATTTCTTTTTTATTTCACTAAAAAAATGTTGATATTCTATTTACACTATAATATTTATTTCTTTATTTAACTAAACAGGGTCGATATTCTATTTTTATGTATATTGTTTTTCTTTATTTCGCTAAAAAAAGGGCGACATTCTATTTCTAATGTTCATTTTGGTCTTTACAAATGGCGACAATGTTCATTGTTTTCTTTATATCACTATACAAATTGGAAATTTAATCTAGTAAATAAAAAAATGTTCATCTCTATCTTTAATTACATTGAATGTTGAACATTCTATTTCTAATGTTTTAAAATTTAATGATGTATATCATATTAAAACTTTATTTCTTTCTTTATTTCACTAGTACATTGCTGCATTCTATTTCTAATGTTTTAATATTTAATGATGTATATCATATTAAAACTTTATTTATTTCTTTATTTCACTAGTACATTGCTGCATTCTATTTCTAATGTTTTAATATTTAATGATGTATATCATATTAAAACTTTATTTCTTTCTTTATTTCACTAGTACATTGCTGCATTCTATTTCTAATGTTTTAATATTTAAATGAAGTATATCTGTTCAGAAGTCACCAAGACAAATATACAAAAGTTACCACCATTTATATACAAAGGTGCATCACAGATTTTACAATGTGGGTGAACTTCTAAAATATCACAAATGCATAATTTTACATCACTGCGTTCTCATGTAATATATTTGTAAAACAAACTATTTTTCCTAATAATTATGACAATGGGACTTTGTAACAGAATAAATGTTCACAAACCAAAAGGGGAAAAAAATCCATACATATTAGAACTTATCACAACCAGGTACGCCACTTTAAGTTGAATATAAGCAGTAAGTTTTGAAGCAAAGCATAAAGAAAAGTCTTTATATGTTTACTGAACATAATTTACAAACAACTAGAAGAGGTTAAAATTGTTAAAGTCTGACTTTAGCTTTATGTAAGATTTGTGTATACAGCAGCCTTCAGATTCAAAGTTTATATTGATTTAAATACTGATAAACATGGAATTATTATTCACACCAAATTAACAGATTTAAAGCTGTGAATAAGCTGGGGTTTTCACTGCACAATTGATGTAAACAAGGATATTCTATTGTAAATGAATGGGATTGGATAACAGGCATGAACTATTCAACTCCTCTCCTATATAGATCTCTGCTGCATAGAAATAATCACATTTACTTTTTGTTTATACCAATCTATATTTCTGATCAAGGGCTATAATTTTTACATTAATCCAATCTAGAGCTTTCTTATTTCATAAAACATGGCTTGGTAAAATTTAAAAGCAACTGGTAAAAGCATACTAAAGTTAATCAACTCCAGGACAACAATAAATTTGAGCTTTCTGTTATCATCATGAGTAAAAGCATATTAAAATCTAAAAGCAATTCTGGCGAAAGAGAGTGTGATGGGGTTAACATCCACTTGACACAAACTATGTCATTTCAAGCCCAACACGGTTCAATTTTAATTAAATAATTCACTTGCGCGTAGGGGTTTTTAGCAATGGGAGGAAAGAGATTGGACAGATGACTCTACTCTTGTTACGTACAAGGCTGGGATTGAAACCATCCCACTTGACTCAATGACAGACCTTCTGATCTAAAGCGCATCCGAGTAATAATTTCATGTTTGACGGTATTAGTAAAAGCCGGTTTTTTTTTATCAAACTAGCAATATGTAAATATAAAGGTGATTGTAACCACTACATGCCAACTAATCTTACCTGTGGCTTCATCTGATAGATAAAATAACCCACGTTAAATATAGCTACTCAAATATTTTATACTTTATTTATAAATACAATGAGCCAATTTGGTACGTAACCAATCAAGAGCCGTAATCATATCATCTCTTAAAGCTGCTTATCGTCAATTTTGCGTAAAATTTCAATATATTGTTTTCTCTTCCAACTTAAAACTCCCTGAATGGCTTTTGAGGGACTGCGAATCCCTTGCAAACTACAATACTATGAAAATTGAATCTCTAAAAGGAATGTTAGTCCAAAAAAATGGTTCAATTCTGTTTAGAATTTACAAAGACGTGATGAGTAGATGATTTTAAACAAGGCAGCACCACCTATAAGTGTTGGGTAAACACTTTTAATGGGCGGCATTATAAAACTATTGTATCTTCGTTGCTTTTATTTTCTTAGTTAAAAGTTTCTTAGTTAAATAAATTTGAATACATTTTAGCACAAATCAAATCTGGTAAAATAAGATATTGTCCCAAAATTGCAAATGATGATGAGCAGCTTTAAAATATGTTTAGAAATTTTTTTTCGTTTAAATTTGAGTCAGTAATTGGAAAAAATCATGGTACATGAATACACGAAAATGAACATTTGCAGAAAATCTAAATATTGTATAGTTACGGCTTAAATGTAACCAATCTGCTATAGTCTGCTTATGGTTGTATCAACATATAAAAAATCGAAATCTGTCATTTGATGCGCAATTGTCCAAGGAACAAGCATGCAAAGTTTCATGTCGATCGTAGATGATTTAGGTGAGCCTCAGGCTTCTTACGAAGAGAGTCGCTCCCACGACCAACAACAAGATTGGGGGTCAGTTCCTGGTCAAAAATCACAAAACCCCTTATACACTGTGCAGCATACAAATTGAAATCGGCTAAATCTTTATATAAATTATGCTCTTACTTAGACTTTGTTTATTTCTTTGATTTTTGATTGTAAAACCTGTAATTTATACATGAACACCTACCTTTTCATCATGAGAGCTGAGTAATGTATCTAACCAGTTATATATATACCCAGATCCGTCATCATTTAAACCGTGTGTATCAAACATTCTACCACAACATAACACGGCTGTCATAGCTTTAACAGCACATAGTTCCTGCTCATTCCATACTTCTTCTTTAGCAGTCAATCTGTAGATAAATTACTGATAAGCTTGGAAGCACATAGCTCAATTTTTAAATGGAAAGCACAATTTTTAAAAAGAAAGCTCAATTTTTAAATAGAAAGCTTAATTTTTAAAAGCAAAATTTCAAAGCACAAATTTTAAAGGTGTTCTTAAAGAACATAAATAATTCAAATGAATGTGGCTTTATGGATACAAAATTCACAAAACTTGGACAGTAAAAGCATAAGTGGAGATGGAGAGGGGGGGGGGGCTCTGTATTAAAATAATTAATCATGTTTACCTCCTGTCTGTAGTTCCGAATGTATGACTAAAATGACCGCTCCAATTGGCAAACAGATGAAAGAGACTATATCTTAGTTCTCGTGACAACAGAGTTTTTCTCAAGTCCACTGAAAAGAGAAAGAAACATATGCAGTGAAAGGGAAAGAAACACTTTATGTTAATAAAATACTGAATTGTCTTTCTGTTTTAACCCCTTAAAACAAATAGGAGGATTGGGTGGGTGAATGGTTTAACACATGTGCCTTAGATCATAAGGTCTGTCATTGAGTCAACTGGTTTGATTCCCAGCCTAAAGGTGACTATAGGAGTAGGGTTGTGTGTTTAATCTGGTGGGTTTTCTTCCGGTTCACTGATTTCATTCCACTGCTAAAGACCTCTACCTATACACAAGCGAATTAGTGAAATAAAATTGAACAATATCTTACTTCCAAAATGACCTAGTTTGTGTTGAATGGATGTTAAACCCCATTTCTCTATCTCTTATACAAAAGGTTTCTGCCAACTGTTAAAGGAACAGTACCTTAAGAATAGAATGGGGGTTTAACATATCATCAATACTTTGGCCATTCGGACACTAACATTCTGTTTATTTTAATGCTGTGGTCACTTGTGTATGTGTGCATGGTGATGAATTTTGCAGGGACAGGTAGCGTTTCTGACTACTGGGTGTATAACAATTTGGATTACCCAAAATAAAGTTTACAAAAGTGTTTTATAAATGTACTTACATGGAGTGTTAGATATGAGATTTTGTATAAAACCACTGAAGTGTAATCGTATTTGTTGTAATATTGGTAAATCACGATCACTTTCCCCCTCGAGATATTGTCTTGCACCATCAATATAATCAACAAACATACTACTTAAACACCCATGTTCTTTATCTATTATACCAGTTTCACTGTAACATAAAAACATATTATACCAGTTTCACTATAACATAAAAACATATTATACCAGTTTCACTATAACATAAAAACATATTATAAAACATATTATACCAGTTTCACTATAACATAAAAACATTATTATACCAGTTTCACTACAACATAAAAACATATTATACCAGTTTCACTATAACATAAAAACATATTATACCAGTTTCACTATAACTTAAAAACATACCAGTTTCACTATAACATAGAAACATATGCAAGTTTCACTATAACATAAAAACATATGCCAGTTTCACTAAATAAATAACATAAAAACATATTAAACCAGCTTCACTATAATAAATAATTTTGTCAGGTACATTTAAAACCACTATTTCCAGGTCTGGCTAACTAATTCTTATTAAGAACTAGTGTGGTATTTGAATGACACCCATTCTTTATTGGTCCACACAAGTCACTCAAACTGTATTATTAGTTTGGCATAAATGACAGAAATGTTATAATATATCTCACCTTTGGGCAAATGTTTTATTTGCTGCAATAAGTTCAAATATATGAGCTAGATGTAGTCGTAATAAATCTCTCTTTCTTCTACGACGTAAATTATCTTGTTTTTTATCGATAGCATCTTTAATATATGGCAACAATTCTTCAGCCAACTCTCTACAAAAAACAATCATAATACACGTATATAGTAAATATGTTTTTAACAAACATTTAAGGAATCCAGTTTGAAATAAAATTTAATGTCAGACGCTTACATTACTAATTTGTAAAAGAAAATAGAGAGTTGAAAAGCTACAAATAAGGGAGAATCTTGTATGATAACACACTTGGATGATAATGATGCATTTGCAAAGTATTTTTCCTGTTATTTCGTTTGGATTTTATATTTTCTAAGGGAACATAAGTGTTTATTTTATTGTGTGGCTTTCGTTGTGATCCACTGGCTCATTAACAAGGATTTCTCAAGTTTGATTCTGGTGTTGCTATATTATTTGTTCTGTTGTGCAGCTATCTTGCAATGTCTATTATTAATGATACAAGTATAATTTTCGTCCACCTTATAAGCGTTTTACAAATTAGAGATGAAATTAGTAATATTTTAGTATTTAGTACTGATATTACTTTCTTGCATTATATAGCTGAAAATGTAAATAATTACTTCTTTTTACTTACTTGAATACAGCAGGATTACAATAACCTAGACCATTAACAACCATATCTTTCATATCAGAGTTTTCACATTTTAACAGTGGTACTAAAAGATGAAATAAGTTACTAGCTGTACTGTTGACAGCTGTTCGAGATTCAGTCTTCTCTGATGCTATACTTTCTGGTGAGGAATTTCTGAAAATAAAGTCAAATATTTGAACAATTTATAATATGTTAGATTGTACAAAACGAGAGTGAGAAATGGGGCTTGAGGTCCGCTTGACACAAACTAGGTCATTTTGGGACTAACATATGGTTCAATTTTATTTCAATAATTTGCCTGGGTGTAGGGGGCTTAAGCAGTGGGAGGAAAACTGAGATAGGCGACATTACTCTGTGTCACGTACAAGCAGGGAATCGAACCCATGCCACTTGACTCGATGACAGACCTTCTGATTCCACAAGTGTTATCCATTCGGCCACCCAACCCTCTTATACATTATAACATCTGAAGACGCTCGATAAAGAGCAGACAATTAACTGATGATTTAATGTTTATATGAATGAAGAAGTAAAAGTGATTGATTTATAGCTGGACGTATTTTTATATTTCTATGTAAATACTAACCCTAATTCTGGACTAGAACATCTATGAGGTATAACAGCACCTTGTTGTGCTATACTACAAGCCATTACAACATAATTCTGCCACAACTGCATATGGACATCTTTCTCTGTGGTTAATTTCTTACTACCTCGTAATATAGATGAGGCTCGATTATCGTTTGTTTGAGTACTGAAAAACAATCATGGCATAAGATTAGAAATCTATGAAATATATAGGATTTGTCATATATGAAATGAAATGGGGTTTAATATCCTACTGTTTTGCTCTAGGAGGGCTAATGAAGACGGACAGAGACACTACAGCCTACTCTTATATCGAATTCCAACAGCTAAGGGATCTTTTACGTGCACGTCAATGTGTACACAGGAACGACTATACAATGTCCCTTGCTAGGCCCTCTTTCTGCACCACTGACAAGGAGGAACCACAATGGAAAATCCTGATGAACTTTCTTGGCCAATGCAGTGATCAAACATAAGTCACTGTGGCTTCCCATTTGTTTTATAATTAGATGTACTGTAATATTATACATTAAAATAATCACAACTATTATATAGAAAAAAATGGCATAACCTAACATTGGACACCTCAAATAATGGAATAACCTAACATTGGACACATCTGATAATGGAATAACCTATTAACATTGGACATCTTTGATAATGGAATAACTTAACATTGGACATCACTTATCATGGAATAACCTAAAATTGGACATCTCTAATAATGGAATAACCTAACATTGGACATCACTGATAATATGGAATAACCTAACATTGGACATCACTGATAATATGGAATAACCTAACACTGGACATCACTGATAATGGAATAATCTAACATTGGATATATGTTAGTAACTTGTAAAACTAGCAGACATATTTTACCTTGGATCAACCAATGGAAATAAAGCCGTTAAACGTGTATAAACAATAGGCCAGGCGTGACCAATAGCAAGAGGACAGGAGGTCAAAGCAAAATCTTTTGAAACAATGGCTGCCACAAATCGTATCCATAAGTCAATTCTATGAAAACTGTAGTTGACTTGGTTTCCGTCTTGTGAGGATCCATCAGCGGTCGCCCATGTTGTAGCTGCCTTGTCCACAACCCACGATAAATCTATGTTACACAAGGTTAGATAGATTGACTGAAATAAAATGAAAATGATAGAAAGACAAATTAAATAACTTGTTCTATTATAGGTAAAAAAGACAATTTACTCTCAAAATACAATCCAAAACAATGTGTTTATTTCAATAATATTAAAACAAAATTTTGTTTATGTTTTTTATCCTAATGTATATAATAAAGATAAGGTCCATATCTCATTTTTCAGTGCTTTTATTGAAAATCAGTCTTATCTATTTTATTTCTAAGTCACTGATTTAATTTGATCCAAATAATTTCAAGCCAGGATAATATCTACTGTTGATATTTTAGTTTTGTTTTGTTAAGAGATGAGGCTACCCGAAAAATGCTTTCTGAAATTCTAAAGCTAGTGAATTGAAGATGGCACAAGTAGTTAGGAAATGTAATATACAAGGGAAACTAACATTAAAACAAAAGAAAAAAAAGTTGTTGCCAGGGTAACACATTATTTTGGAAAAAGTATGAAAAACGTAGGTACATCATATCTCTGATAATAATAAAGATAAATGTCTCATTTTCGGACTGCTTATCCTTTAATGATAACCCCAAAACCAGATAGAGATTATTTTTTTTTTTAATTTTTATAGTTTCTTGGAAAATGGTGTTTAAAACATTTGCCTCACCACAATATTTTGTTTTTGGAGAAATATTTTGATAACTTTTGAAATATTAATGATAATTCAAATTGCATTCTGTCTGATTCTGTAGTAGATATTAGATTATATATCCTGCAAATTTGGCGAAGATATCTTAATTGGTTACAGAGATATAGTGTACCTACATTTTTCATAATTTTTCCCCAAAAATGTGTTACCCTTCTCCCTTGTTAATTACATTTCCTAACTACTTGTACTATTTTCAATTCAATAGCTTTAACATTTCAGAATAAAGATTTTGGATAGCCTCCCCCTTTAAATAATCACTATAGGTATATTTCAGTGTGGATTAAACTATGAACAATTCGATTCGAAAAAATGCACGATCTGGTTTGGCAAGTTTAAAAATTTCAAAAAAATGATCTGAAATCAATTAATAAATATTTTGAATTTTCTTCTGTATGATATAAAAGATTAATAGAACACAATTTTTATGGGAAACAATCACTGGTTTATTCTAAAAGCACGACGTTTCGACAAGGATCCTCTTATCGTTATCAAGCACAATGACATTTCATCAACTTCAGATGAATATATAAGAGTGGACATGGTGAAACCATATAATAAGATAAAATAACAATAACAATAAAGATAAAGGATTAAACAAATTAGACATAGGATAAGTAGGGTAGTTAATTAGACAATCAACAACAAATGGAAAACATTTAGCTAATTATGAAGACCATCAAAGGGAGCCGTTGGATGCTGTTATGTTGTTTCAATGAGGTAATAGGGATGAAACCATTTACTAAGATATGGATAACACTTATAATAAATTAATGTAGGCATTGCATAGTCCATTAACAGAAGGCTAAATAAACAAGATAGGTGATAATATGTATGGTAGATGAGCAAGTGGTTATGACAATGAAAAAATTAAGAGTGTGAAAGCTCAAAAAAGAAATGACAAATGAAGTTAATAGCCTAATAAGTTAAACAGTCCAGAAAAAAGCCATAGGTTGGAAACATATTGTAATAAATGGGGTGATAAAGGGGGGGGGACCATTTAACTTACTATTACATACATACTAATAGTATGTGAACGCTCAAAAAGAAATGACAAATGTAGTTAATAGCCTAATAAATTAAACAGTCCAGAAAAGGGCCATAGGTTGGAAACATATTGTAATAAATGGGGTGATAAAGGGGGGGGGGGACCATTTAACTTACTAATACATACATACTAATAGTAAGAAAGCAAGTACACACTGCCAATTCTCTCAGACTAACTAAACAGTTAAAGTTTGTGATTAATGGGTTGTAACTTAAGTTGAATTGTTCATTTTGATGACCTGATCGTATGCCCTTGAAATATGCAGCCCCGCGTCCCTGTTTAGTTGGGGTGAATAGCGCCTAATGTTAATCGCTTCTAGGATTTTCCTTGTTTTTCTATTCAGTTGGTTGGTTGTTAATATCTGCACCCCATTCCAATCGACTTTGTGCTGCGGGTGGTTCTGTAAGTGCTCCGCTACGGCCGAGTTGTTGGTGGCAGTTTTGGACCGGTGTTCTGATATTCGCTTATCTAGTGGACGTTTAGTTTCGCCAATATATGAAAAATCACACGAACAATTCACTTTGTATACAACTCCTTTAGGCTGAACAGGTAGGGTTGGTTTTTGTTTGCCATTAGCTTTAAGTATCTGTTTCAGGGTTGTGGGAACAGAGAAAGTAGTGTCGATGTTGTACTTCTTAAGTAAATTACTCACTTGATATGTTAGGTTGCCGTGAAATGGCAAGGTTACTCTAATCATCTCTTTTGGTGTTTTTTGTTGACTTCTGTTGATGTTTTTGGATATTTCATTAATTTGCTTATTGACTAGTGATGGAGGGTAATGGTTCAAGTTGCAAAATACATGGCGTAGATGTTCCAATTCTCCCTGCAGGTATTCAGGTTCACAAATGCTAATGGCTCTTCGTGTTTGGGTGGATATCAGAGCTTTTTTGATGTAGTGGGGGTGGCTTGAGTTGAAATTAATGTACTGATCAGTGTGAGTTGGTTTTCGATATATTTTTGTTTTTAATTGATTATTTACCTTAACAACTTGTACATCTAAAAATGGTAGAGTGTCATCTATCTCGGTCTCAATGGTGAATTTGATACTGGGGTGCTGTTTATTGAGGTGATCTAAAAGAGACATTGGTTCATCATTTTCATCCAGAACCACAAAAGTATCATCAACCTTGCGCAGCCATGTAATAGGAGTAATGGGTGAGGTACTAAGGGCACGTTCTTCAAATTGAGTCATAAAAATTTCAGAAATTAAAGGTGAAAGGGGGCTGCCCATCGGTAAGCCCCTGACTTGCTTGTAAAGGTCATCTCCCCAGGTAAAGTATGTGGAATCAAGGCACATGGTGGTCAATTCAAGGATGCTATCTGTGGATAATTTTGTTTCCAGGGGGACTTCGAGGTCGTTGATTCTGGAGCGGAGAGCTTCAATAGCTTCTTGACGAGGTACATTGGTGAAAAGATCTACTACATCGTATGACACTATTCTTCCAGGGCGGCTTATTTCTCTTATTATCCTGCAGAATCTACCAGAGTCTTGGATGAAGGAGGTAGAGGATGTTCCTAAGTGGGCGAGAAGCTTAGATAGGTGTTTGGCAACATTGTAAAAAACAGAGTCCCTAGAACAAACTAATAATCTAGCCTTAATTGGGTTCTTATGCGTTTTGATAGTGGCTCGGGCGTATGGAGGACGTGGGTGGTTAGGTTTTAACTGGTAGGAAAGATCTTTGGTTATCTGTTGAGAGTCGCACAGTTCTTTTAATTTGTCATTTAAATGTTTTTCTAATGTTGTTGTTGGATTTTTTCGTATCTTTCTATAGGTAGTAGTGTCTTTAAGTAGTTGGTCAACAGTGGAGTTGTAGTCATCAGAGTTCATGATTACAGTGGATTTTCCTTTATCGGCTGGTATAATTACTATGGACTTGTCTTCCTTCAGTTCTTGTATAGCCCTGGTTTCACCTTTGGAAATGTTGTAGCAGTTCTTCTTAGTAGTTGATTTCATTATTAGGTTAGCTATCTGGTGGCGAAGGAACTCTACTTTACCGCCTGGGGCTAGTTGACATAAACCTTTCTCTATGTTGGCGATGAAAACATCATGTTTTCTGGGTGCCCAGGATGGTGCAAACTTTAAACCCTTTGAAAGTAAGTTGATTTGATCATCTGTCAGTTCTTTGCTGCTAAGATTAACTACTGTCTTGGTAAGAAAATCTGTCTTGAGTTGGGTTGTGTCTAATTTCTTGGTAGTAGGATTACTCTTTATGAGCTCATCAAACTTTTTCTGATGACGTTGTTTAATACTCCCTTCAATGGCTTGGTTGGCGGAGGTCTGCGCCTTGCGGATGGAGATAAAGTCTTCGTTTGTAACTAGGTTGTTGAGTTCCTGGTGTAACTCTTCTATTTGTCCCAATAGTCGGTATTTGGTGTTCCTATGATGCTGTATTCTTTCACGTATTAGGGATTTACTGGCTTGTAGAAGTATTTTATCGGCTGCATTGGAATTTACTGGACCCTTTAGTTTTAACCCTTGTGGCACAATGTCACCGTCTCTGCATCTCATGAGAAAAGTTAAATTATTACTCACTCTTATATATTTATCTTCAAGTTTACTGATCTGACGAACACACTTAACTGCCACATCCCCATATTGACGTTGTACATAATCTTTAAGTGGCATTTAGCGATTGGAAAACACATTAATAGAACACAATTTTTACAATGTTGCCAAACACCTATCTAAGCTTCTCGCCCACTTAGGAACATCCTCTACCTCCTTCATCCAAGACTCTGGTAGATTCTGCAGGATAATAAGAGAAATAAGCCGCCCTGGAAGAATAGTGTCATACGATGTAGTAGATCTTTTCACCAATGTACCTCGTCAAGAAGCTATTGAAGCTCTCCGCTCCAGAATCAACGACCTCGAAGTCCCCCTGGAAACAAAATTATCCACAGATAGCATCCTTGAATTGACCACCATGTGCCTTGATTCCACATACTTTACCTGGGGAGATGACCTTTACAAGCAAGTCAGGGGCTTACCGATGGGCAGCCCCCTTTCACCTTTAATTTCTGAAATTTTTATGACTCAATTTGAAGAACGTGCCCTTAGTACCTCACCCATTACTCCTATTACATGGCTGCGCAAGGTTGATGATACTTTTGTGGTTCTGGATGAAAATGATGAACCAATGTCTCTTTTAGATCACCTCAATAAACAGCACCCCAGTATCAAATTCACCATTGAGACCGAGATAGATGACACTCTACCATTTTTAGATGTACAAGTTGTTAAGGTAAATAATCAATTAAAAACAAAAATATATCGAAAACCAACTCACACTGATCAGTACATTAATTTCAACTCAAGCCACCCCCACTACATCAAAAAAGCTCTGATATCCACCCTAACACGAAGAGCCATTAGCATTTGTGAACCTGAATACCTGCAGGGAGAATTGGAACATCTACGCCATGTATTTTGCAACTTGAACCATTACCCTCCATCACTAGTCAATAAGCAAATTAATGAAATATCCAAAAACATCAACAGAAGTCAACAAAAAACACCAAAAGAGATGATTAGAGTAACCTTGCCATTTCACGGCAACCTAACATATCAAGTGAGTAATTTACTTAAGAAGTACAACATCGACACTACTTTCTCTGTTCCCACAACCCTGAAACAGATACTTAAAGCTAATGGCAAACAAAAACCAACCCTACCTGTTCAGCCTAAAGGAGTTGTATACAAAGTGAATTGTTCGTGTGATTTTTCATATATTGGCGAAACTAAACGTCCACTAGATAAGCGAATATCAGAACACCGGTCCAAAACTGCCACCAACAACTCGGCCGTAGCGGAGCACTTACAGAACCACCCGCAGCACAAAGTCGATTGGAATGGGGTGCAGATATTAACAACCAACCAACTGAATAGAAAAACAAGGAAAATCCTAGAAGCGATTAACATTAGGCGCTATTCACCCCAACTAAACAGGGACGCGGGCTGCATATTTCAAGGGCATACGATCAGGTCATCAAAATGAACAATTCAACTTAAGTTACAACCCATTAATCACAAACTTTAACTGTTTAGTTAGTCTGAGAGAATTGGCAGTGTGTACTTGCTTTCTTACTATTAGTATGTATGTATTAGTAAGTTAAATGGTCCCCCCCCCCCCCTTTATCACCCCATTTATTACAATATGTTTCCAACCTATGGCCCTTTTCTGGACTGTTTAATTTATTAGGCTATTAACTACATTTGTCATTTCTTTTTGAGCGTTCACATACTATTAGTATGTATGTAATAGTAAGTTAAATGGTCCCCCCCCCCTTTATCACCCCATTTATTACAATATGTTTCCAACCTATGGCTTTTTTCTGGACTGTTTAACTTATTAGGCTATTAACTTCATTTGTCATTTCTTTTTTGAGCTTTCACACTCTTAATTTTTTCATTGTCATAACCACTTGCTCATCTACCATACATATTATCACCTATCTTGTTTATTTAGCCTTCTGTTAATGGACTATGCAATGCCTACATTAATTTATTATAAGTGTTATCCATATCTTAGTAAATGGTTTCATCCCTATTACCTCATTGAAACAACATAACAGCATCCAACGGCTCCCTTTGATGGTCTTCATAATTAGCTAAATGTTTTCCATTTGTTGTTGATTGTCTAATTAACTACCCTACTTATCCTATGTCTAATTTGTTTAATCCTTTATCTTTATTGTTATTGTTATTTTATCTTATTATATGGTTTCACCATGTCCACTCTTATATATTCATCTGAAGTTGATGAAATGTCATTGTGCTTGATAACGATAAGAGGATACTTGTCGAAACGTCGTGCTTTTAGAATAAACCAGTGATTGTTTCCCATAAAAATTGTGTTCTATTAATGTGTTTTCCAATCGCTAAATGCCACTTAAAGATTAGATATAAAAGATGTTGAGTGAATGTTTTACCTTTTCAGCTGGAGGTAGATACTGATGTAAACGTTCTAGTATAGTTGGACAAGCTCTATCTATAGCATCTAATAAACATGGATTATACACCTGTAATAATAATATATTAATACATATTCACACTTCTATATTAATTTTTATTCACATACGTTTCTAAATACATGTGTACATATTAAAATTTACACGATAATCAGTTATAAACACAACACTCATTATCTAATCTAGACAGAAATGAAATGAAATGGGGTTTAACGTCCTACTGTTCTGTTCCTAAACTGGGCTAATGAAGACGGGCATACGCCATACAATGTGCAATGAGGGAAATTTTGCCTGGGCAGCGGCACTACGGCCTACTCTTATATCGAATTCCAACTGCCAAGGGATCTTTTACATGCAGGCCAATGTGTACATGGGACCTCAGTTTTTCGTCCCATCCACACTAATCTAGACAGACCCTTTAAACTACACAACAGTAGAAACTCAATGGTTTTCTATGATTCTCAACGAATTTGAACAGTTTTCCAACAATGGTTTGAAACTAAACATTAAATACAGAAACGCCTGCAGAAGAAAGAGAGAGGAATGGGGTTTAACGTCCACTCAACATAAACAAGGTCATTTAGGGATTAACACATGCTTCAATTTTATTTCAATAATTCGCTTCTGCATAGGGGTATTTAGCAGTGGGAGGAAACCGGAGGACCCGGAGAAAACCCACAAGGTTGGAAGGCGATCCTACTCGTACAACAGGGGAATCGAAACCCTGTCAGTTGACTCAATGACAGACCTTATGATACAGCGCGCACATGCTAACAATTCGGCCATTCAACCCCCTACTCCTGCTGAAACAACACAATTATATGATACCCAAGTTTCAGTGATACTAGTCTCTATAGATGTACCTGGGTTGCGCTGTATGAATTGAATATATTTCGAACTTCCTTCAACAAAATGACAGCCAATTTTCTTGTCATCATACGACAGCTGCACATCATAACTAGTGCCAAACCTTCCACTTCATGTAGTACGTCTAAACTAACAATCTGATTGGTTGGTTGTACTGTATCACCTGATCTATCCTGTAACTATGCAAAATAAAGATATTTCATCATAACCTCAGCACCATGAAATAAAATGTATATGTATAAAAAAAACCTCCAATATCTATTCTTACAAAATTTGTTTAATTGTATCCATCAAAATTTTCTTAATATCATATCTTTCAAAATTTGTTTAATTATAACCTTTAAAATTTGTTTAATTGTATCCTTCAAAATCTGTTTAATTGTAACCTTCAGATATTCTAATTTTAATTTTTTTTTGGGGGGGGGGGGGGGGGATGAATAAATGGTCTTACATCCTGAATTTACAAAGTTATCTATTGAAAAGATTCAATATTTAAAATTAAGTAATCTCACCAAAGTTAAAAATGTTAGATATCAAGAAATATTTTAGAAAACAGAAATTTGCCTGCTATTAATATTCCATGCATTGATGCAAATTGTGATAATTTTTTGGTAAAAAAAAAGGCTAGCAACTTACCTTATTGGATTGTGCATCTTTTGATGTAGTATTACTATTGTTACTATTATTATTATTATTATTATTAGATTTCCACTGCACTAATAACTGCATCAACATTCGTAAAGCACCATCTAACAACTGAGTATTATTATCAGAGATATCTTTCATAACAAATTGAATGAAACCTAGAAAAAAAATACATTCCGTAATCAGTATTTCTAACAATTTACTGCATAGAAAATGTGCAGAGTAGGACTGAGGGTTCTTATTTCTGACATATTTATCATTATTGACTGCCAGTTCTTAGATTAGACATGAATTTGTCTTTCTCATAAGTACGACAATTTTAGCATTATCTTCATTTTGAGAAAAACATTCTTGTAATTTCAATTTCCAATTTGTACAACACAGAAATTTCAAGCTTCATTTGTCACCAGTGTCATTAATTTTCTTAGACGCCACAGTTAGCTTGGTGCTAACTCACTAATTAGGATTTCCCCGAACAGGTCCTTTGGATAATATGAAAAACAGAGAATGTGTGCGGAATTGTAAATAATAAGTAGGCCATAGCCTAACTGCTCATCTAAGATCAGACCGGTTGGTACAGAAAAGATAGAGGTGGAAATCCATTATGTCATCGCATTTCATAAATTTGTTAATTTCTATTTATTATGTAGCTATAATTACCATGTAAAACATATTCTTTCCATAAATAAGATTCAGACATCAGATTCTGTAGAGCTTGAAATGCCAACCTATAAAATATACATAATTACTGTAATCAGTGAAAGAATCTTACAATCTTAAGCTATCCCATATCTTTAGGGGAAATAAATGTTAAAAATACATCTGTTCAGTTTTTATTTCAATGCAATCAATAATATGGGTCATTTCAAACTTTTTGGGGACTAGACACTGTAACCCAGGTATCGTTCAATCTTGTGTATCTAGCACTAATTTCTTTCACATTCGTTTAATATCAAATCTTTGTTTAAAAATTCGTAAAAATCGTTTTAAAATCACCAAAAATCATCTAATTTGTACATGTGTCCAGTTTAAAGCAGACTGATTAATTTTGATAATGAGTGTCCAATTTACAAGTATTTAATTTCCTGATCACTGTTCAAAAATTAATCATTATACATAATTAATCAATTGGGTTGTTTATTTTTTAACAATGATAGAGAAATTAAACACTTATAAATTGGACACCCATTATCAAAATTGAAAGGTCAGCTTTAAATTGGACAAATTAAACGATTTATGGTGATTTTAAACAGTTTTTACAAATTTTTAAACAAAGATTGGATATTAAACGAATGTGAAAGAAATTAGTGCTCGATACACAAGATTAAACGATACCTGGGTTACAAGACCTGATGTCTATTCCATTGTTGGTTTTAAATTATTTCACTGACTGTAATATATGTAACATGGTGACAGTTAAGTTTTCAACAAAATTCAACAGAATACTATGAAATATTTTTAGATTCTTTATTAAAATGTAAAACAATAAACTTAAGTGTGTGTAAATAATGGGGCCTTAAAGAAAGAGAGAGAGAAATGGGGTTTAACCTCCACTCAACACAAACTAGGTCATTTCGGAACTAACATATGGTTCAATTTTATTTCAATAATTCGCTTGCGCGTAGGGGTCTTTAGCAGTGGGAGGAAACCGGAGGACCCGGAGAAAACCCACAAGGTTGGACATGCGACCCTACTCCTTGTCACGTACAACCGGCCTTAAGGAAAAAAAATACATACCACAAACATACCAAAATTAACAGAACTGTATATAAATGACATCCAGACTTACCCTTTTAGTTCTTCATCTATATGTACTGTAAGTCTGGTTAATAGTTCTACTAGTTCCCCATTATTCATACCTTCTGGTACCAGACGAGGTATGGCTGCTATACATGTACGGAATAAATCTATCTTCGGTTTTCTATCACCACTGGAAATAATACCAGAATTTGATTAGTTCGTTGACTAGGGCGATATTCAAAGATCTTTATTATTTCAGCAGAAACAAGATGTTAAAGATGCATTATGTAAGAGCTAAATCTGTCTATTGCAGATCTTTCTTTTGGCCTCAAATGTCATATAAATTATTATTTAGTAGACATTTATTAACACGACAAGCCCATAATCAACTCTCTAGATCATCGGATGGCTCTGATTTTAAGTAGATTACAACACAGCAACCATTTAAGAGACAAACGATAACATACACAATCGAGACTTGATTGTCAAGTACAAATAATAAACAATCTATTCCTACATTTTGTCAAAACTGCAAACACACATAACTTTGCACAGAATAAAGTAATTTGATTTAAATTTTGAATATGATAATTTTCATTATCTATTTTTGAATTAATATAGCAAGAACGACTAGCTCTTTATCTAAATCTTACATGCATCTTTAAAGACAGCGAAGACATTTAAAGACATTGAGATTAAGGTCTCATCAACACAACAATACTTTGTTCATATTGAGACATGGTCTTGCAAATTGTGTGCTATCAGGTAGGAAGTTTTTTCCTATTACTCTTTGTTTGTAGAAACAAATTTAAGGAAATGAAATGAAATGAAATGATATGGGGTTTAATGTCCTATTGTTTTGCTCCGAACTGGGCTAATGATATGAGGGAAATTTTGCCCGGACAGCGCCACTACGGCCTACTCTTATATCGAATTCCAACTGTCAAGGGATCTTTTACGTGCATGCCAATGTGTACACGGGACCTTGGTTTTTCGTCTCATCAGAATGACTAGACAGCGTCCTGCATCACTGACAAGGGGAAACCACGCTGGAAAATCTGGATGAACTTTCTTGGCCAATGCAGGGATCGAACACCCGACCTCCAGGCTAGCGAGCCAGCATCTTACCCACTTAGCCACTGTGACAAATTTAAGGATCCTTTCCACTCACCAGTTAGCTGTGTTAAATTTTACATAAACAAAAAAAATATGTGAAATGATCTAATCCAGGACAGGTTTAGGGCAGTAACTGAGGAGATAAAATGATCAGTTGATAAAGAGTTACTGCCCAAATTAATCTTTTATATTTTGAATACAGTCTTGTCAATTCATTCTTGGGAGTTAATTAGAGCGGATGATTTGCTTTGTTTAAAAAAAATACTAACATAATCACTTCATCTGGTTCTTTATTAGCATTTTCAGCTTTAGTCATTAATAATGGACGTCCAACTTGAAGATCTAGAGCTCGCAACATAGCATCAAATGTTTTTAATATATGAGGGAACCAGGGTTGTACACCAATCTGTTTAGCTGTGGCTTCTGTTAACATCTTGTTGAGAAACGTGCGTTTAACACGAACAGTACTACCAGAAGGTAAAGTAGATGATGATTGCGGCATGGGTGGATCACCATCTCTCTGTTGTAGACTATCAGCTATAACTAGAAACGCTCTTAATCCAATACTCATTCTCTGTTATTAAAAAAACAAAATTTACTGTTTAGAAATAAACCCAACATTTCTATGGAAAACCATCACTGTCACAACAGTTTTATGGAAAACAATTACTGTCACAACAGTTTTATGGAAAACAATAATTCACTTGGGTGTAGGGGTCTTTAGCTGTGGGAGGAAACCAAGGGCACAGAGAAAACCCAAGAGGTTGGACAGGCGACCCTACTCCTTGTCACATACAACCTGGGAATCGAAACCATGCCAGTTGACTCAATGACAGACCTTATGATAGCCTTACAACGAAATGAACAATCCCTGGAAGTTTGAAACAAATCTTACAACAGCAGGTATCACAATCACAAGAAAAGCTAGACAGATCAACAAATAAAATGTAGCTGTATTAAAATTTGATATGTTCTGGGTAAAAACCTTACCTCTGGTGTAAGAGAGAATTTCACTGGTTTTCCAACACACAGTAAATCAAATATAATATCCTTCATAGCAAACTCTAATCTCTCCTGAAATATAATAAATAGTTCAACACTAACTTGAAAGATTAACCCATTGAACCACAGCTCAAGCTCAGTGAAAGTTCTTGTCTGTAGGGAAAGAGAGTGGGGGCAGCTATTGGGGAAATTAGCCTACTCTTATTTTGATTCCTTACAGCCAGGGGATGTTTAATGTGCAGGAACTTGGCTATTCAGAAAGCCTGAATGACCAGACACTTTTCCATGCCAGGTCCTCTGGCCTGAACCACTGACATGGGGAAATCAGACTGGAAAGTCCTGAAGAACACAACTGGATTGAACCCAGTAAGCAAGTCAGCAAGTAGTGCCCTTGTACATATAAACTTATCAAATAGCAATAGAGAGATAGCGTTTAACGACCACGACACAAACTACGTCATTTTTGAACTAACAATAACATAGGGTACAACTTTATTTCAATAATTCACATAGAGGTCTTTAGTGGTGGAGGAAACTGGAGGATTCCAGGAAAACCCACAAGGTTAGACAGCCGACCTTACTCTTTGGTGCATACAAGTGTGGTATGGAAACCCCGCCACTTGACTCAATGACAGACCTTTTCATCTAAAGAGGGTTTTAGAATAATAAGTAATGACTTACCTTAGCAATAAATTGTATAATTTTAACAAATATATTTAATGGTGTATCTTTTGGTGTAACTATTTTCGAACCTTTTGGAAACAAACTGTTGACAATACTCTGTAATCTACTGGCAGTCGCTGTATTACTTTCACATTTAATTCTTACCATATATACCCTAAAAAAAAACAATCAACAATCAATATAAACTTCATTGTAAGACAAGTACAATAGTACTATATGGACCAGGAAAGAAGCATAACAACTTCACCTCCATATTGGAATTGTGGAATACTGTCATATAGAGCCTACTCTGTTACTAAACCAACTTATTCATATTATCAAGGAATAGTGGTCTGAAGCCTTCTTGAGTTTTTTGTGCTAATTGAGGTACTTCCCTTTATTAAAGAAAGGCTTTTATCCTACAGGGAATTCTGGTATAGAATGAAATGAAAGATGGTTAGTTGATCTTTAGCCACACTGCTTGTTTTAAACAACCCTGGCCATCTTGTGGCCTATACACCCCAATACCACATGTTGGAGATGCCAAACTCCCATTTCTAGTATCTAGAGAACTAGTTTTCAGGTGGTATTTCTGATTTGATGCCGAGAATTGACGTGTGATGTGAGGAACACATTTTTGAGATTCAGACACTGTTGTGCACATTCTCCCGTCATTCCACAGATTTATTCTGAGGACTACAAATTCAAAATATGTCAATCGATGCACAATTATCCAAGGAACAAGATTCATGTTGGTTGAACTTGGGTTCACAGGGACCTAGACTTTTTTCAAAGGAAACCACACTGGAAATTCCAGGGAATTTTCTCAGTCAACACGGAGATCGAACTCCTGACCTCCTGTTTATAGTGAGCTCCCGCCTTATCCACTGAGCCACATTGCGGCTCACAATATATAAATACCTGTAGAAAGAAACATTTCTCAATAATAAGGAAACTATTTCTATTACAAATTTTACATATACTGTATTGCAGTATTCTGAATTCTTTTCAATTTGTTAAACGAGATGTTGCATTAATAGATACTCACCATAGTAATCTGTAGAGAGATTCTAAAGCAATACGGGACATTTTAGCATCTTTATTTTTAAGTTGTGAGAGACAGGAAGTGAGAAAATATGGCCAGTTATTTAAAAAGAATGTCTTATGACTGACACATAACAGACAGGTAACCAATGGAAACAAATGCTGAAAGAGATTAACAAAATAAAAAGATTAAGAAATATCACAATTTTGCCCCAATAATAATGAAATGAAATGGGGTTTAACATATTACTCTTAATTTGAATTCCAACTCTTAAGGGTTCTTTTATGTGTACACAGAACCTTGGTCTTTCATTCCATCCAAACAACTATGTAAGAGGTAACCATGCTGGAAAATCCCTGGGAGCTTTTTCGGCGAAAACCAATCTCGCCTCTAGGCAACTCTTGATCATGCAGCATTTGATTACAATTAAGGTTCCTTGCAATCTTCAATTTCAATATTCGTCAGAGATCATGTATAACAAATAGTAGCTACGACACAGATAATGTTATTACCAAACACTGAAGTGGCAGGTTCTCATGGGTATTCCAACAGTTGTTCCCATATAATATGGCTAACATGTCATGAAGATGAGCTATGATATACTAAAGTTTAACTTACTGAAGTATGTTTTCTCTTTGTTGTCATATCAACAGTAGTAGAATACAATAACTCAACAAAATTCTTTAATACTGGTACATTTACTTCATTTTTAGCTGTCTGTTCATATAAATAAATCAAATAAATAACATACATATAAAAAAATAGAAATACTGAAAATAAATGAGCTAAATATTTGTAATTATTAAGATTTGTATATTGGAAAACTGCGAAGTTGTTCATATTCGTGCAGAGAACACAGTGCCATCATGTTATGTACATGGTTCCAGTATATAATACTATTTAATGACAGGTGTCTTGTGGAGACATACATGGATTTAAGTTGATGACCAATACCAATAAAAGGCAAACAATAAGACATATTGAATCAACTGATAAAGATAATAAGAGAGAGAAATAGGGTAAAATGTCCACTCAACACAAACTTATTTTGAGACTAACATATGGCACAATCGTATTTCAATAATGTGCTTGTGCGTAAGGGTCATTAGCAGTGGGAGGAAACCGAAAAACCCGGAGAAAGAGAGAGAGAAGTGTGGTTACTGTCCACTTGGCAGAAACTAGGTCATTTTGGGACTAACATATGGCTCAATTTTATTTTGATAATTCGCTTGTGCGTAGGTGTTTTTAGCAGTGGCGGGAAACCTTATGATCTAAAGAGCACATTCGACCGCCCAATACCCCCCCCCACCCAAGTCATACAAAGAAACTTACAGCTGAAACTGGTAATAATATTTCTACAAACAATCCAGCTAAAGCATGTTTTATTTCTCGGTCTTTCACGTCTAGAAAATATACACCTAATTCATGTAGAAACGCTACATTGGCTTCAAACTCTTCTATAGGATGTAGCTGAAAAAATATAGAAAAATGACTGTATATTTATAAATTCCTTCATTAGTTATTTCTTTACTAGTAATACACAGCTTCAAAATTTGGAAACTATTAATATTTATTAAAAATGGATGTGCGCACTGCCACAAGCAAAGCTAAAAAACTTGGTAAAAATTTCAATATGATCAGATCATAACTAAAGCCTATAGAGGCTAACGAGATTTGGTAACACTGGAGAATAACTTTATTAGACGTTATAATAGAAAATTGCTGAAAGTCAACAGAGTTTTCGTTTCAATAGAATATTGTAAGAAAGGGACATAATTTTAGAGGTGATTGAAAGAAAAATGTCGAAAACTCATATCAATTACAAATAAGATATTCGGAATATTATTAATACATACCTTTACACGGAAGAACTTGAGTCCCATCAATAAACTGATGATGGCCTGAGCTGTATATGGCGTTTGATCTCGTAGTTTTAATTCACGTAATTCATTCATAAACGTCTTTCTTATAGCTTGAAATCTACACAATAGAACAATTAAAATAAGCACAATTCTAAGAAAAAAAAAAAAGCATCAGGTCAATGTCACTTGATCTTCATTTACCAAAAATAATGCTAATAAGGTAGCACTGTGGACTTTGCTGTAAGCCATTAAAACACAGAGCCTAATTTGTTTCATTTTTTATAGTTCAAAATTTTGTTACGGGGAGGTTTTGGCGAGCAGTCCCTGGAATTTTGGCTATCCCACTAGAAACATCAGCACTAATTAACTGGTTAATCAAATATTTGATGCCATAGGGTCAAAAGCCACTCATATGACCCCTGACGCGACCTCCCAATAGAACTTCAATCAAATCTATCCCCAAACACAGCAACATGACAGCCCTTCCTTTAATCAAGGGCCTTCCCTAAAAATTTGGACAGTGATTTAAGGTATTAAAACGGTGAAAGTATTATTCGTCTCAAAACAATATTGTTTACATTATATCCGTATTGACAGTTGATAGCCTTGTTTGTCACACAATTAGTTTTTCTGCAATATTTTGCTATGCACTGGTTAATTGGGCATAATAAAATTGTGAGTCATGACGTAACGTTATGTAAACATATTTGGTATTGTTATGCAGTTAGATATTGGTTGTTAATCGGATTATGGACCAGTCATAATTTAGAACAAGAATTTGCTTTCTTTACAGCAGTGAGTAGTTGGATTAGCTTAATCAAACGAAACACTGCAAGGAGTATGATGTAAATGGTATACCTCCATCTTTATGTTTTGTGAAATCTAACTGATGGGCCTGTTTTATTTCCAAATGAATCCAAGCAGGGAGATTATCTTGCATTGATTATATTGATTTTGTTTTCTTAATTAAATGTTTAATAATCAATCTGAGTACATAAAGGTCTGGATTAGGCAGTGAGAAATTTGATATTTTCCCCCAAATGCAATTGACGCAGTTACTCTAATTCTGGGAAACATTTTCCAGTAAAATTGGTAATGAATAAAGATGATTTAAAATCAGATAACAATAAATGATCAGGAAAGATACCTTGAAGTGGCCAGGATTCCAATAACTTCAGCATATAAATCAGCTATTATATTGATATTAGCAGAATTAGGATTTGTTTGATTACTGAAAAATACAAAAGTATTCTTAAGAAAAAAATAGTCAGTCATATTTATTACATAGATAATTACAAGGAATTATTTGAAGTTTTCTTCCTCAAGTTGATCGACTGCTATTAAGATTTGTCTAATCTGGTTTGTGGGGACTAACATATGGTTCAATTTTATTTCAATAATTACCATAAACCATTCGCATAGGGGTCATTACATGTGGGAGGAAACAGGAGGACCCGGCAACACTAAATCGAAACTACGCCACTTGATTCAATGACAAGACCTTCTGATCTAACACACATTAGTTAAACCATTCGGTCACCCAATCTCGCTAATCTGGTTTGGATTCTGTAGTTCAAAGATGGATAATAACAGAATCTATCAACAATTTGATCAGACAGATTTACACGTCATTTTCTATTGTAAATTGTTCAACTTACGAGTCTCTGGATCGGAAATGTTTAAAAGCTGTACTGATAATATAGTTGATCATATCATCATGACCTGGATGGTAAGAATTCTGAAAATACAACATAACATTTTATCTTTAAATTCATAACTAAATCAGTGCTTCCCTTTTCCTCAAAATGTGTTGATATGTAGTGTGGTCTTCCTTCACTTACTACTAAAGGCAAACTAAACCGTCTCTACAAATAAACATGTTGTCTTACCTTTGTTAGGACTTCTATAAGAACCAAACAGTTGACAAACTCCACAGCCAGCTAAATAATTAGAAACATAATTATTTATGATACTCAGTCAATCTTCAGAAACATACAATATCATTTAGGTAATAAATATTTAACATGCAAAAGGTTAAAGTATAAAAGGTTAAAGTATATGTTGATAATCCATATCCTAATGATAACAAAATCTTAAATACGAAAAGCAGAATTATAAATATTGCATTGTATGTAACATATCTCTGTTTTTCAAAATCTAACACAATAATCACTGACTGTCGATTTAATCATTAAATACTGCACCAAATACAAACGTAAATAAATGTAGCACCAGTAAATTTATTACAACTTTTATATGAAGTTATTCTAAAATTTATAGTTCAAACTTTATATTATGTTAGTGAATAAAGAAGGTACTTACATCTCTTCTTTCACAAAGAAAATCTTTACTTCTGTAACAAAAAACAGAAATAACCAAATAACATGTAGATGAATATAAGAGATTTGGTACATTACTACCTTTTCGAAAACCAAAATTTGTCGTTCATGTGACCAATGAAATGGGGTTTAACATACTTTTCTGAACCAACAAGGCTTTTGAAGACAGGAATACACCATACAATGTGCTATAAGAGAAATTTAGCCCGATAGTGGTATTTCCAATACTTTTCCAACTGCTAAGGGTTCTTTTATGTGCACACCAATAAATGCGTACTGGGGACCTTGGTTTCTTGTATCATCCTGACTGGATGCATTTCCTTGCCAGGTCCTCTGCTAATACTAGAATCAAACCAGGGATCTAGAGTGATCCAGAGCTCACAACTTGACAATTAAATAATAGCAAAAGAGCTGATTTATAATGCTTCCCACTCTCTAAAGCTTGAAAGGAGTATGAAATAATAATGTTGTATTTTATTTAACAAATTCATAAGTGAGGGGACTGACTTCATATTCAGGGGTATGTTCAGAGCGAAATGTATGAATATTAGCAGAAATGTGATATTGATATGAAAGATGTTGTACTTACCCTTTACTTCTATGTCTATGTCGAGATTCAAACATTGGACTATCATCGTATCGTAATTGTCTCTCGTACCATAAAAACAATGATTTTAATATAGATGGTAAACTATGTTCTGCTACACAACCCATTACATTTAATATCTGTAATATAAGTTACACTCTCACATGACATAGTCTTGTGGTTTGTATATTAAAAATTAAAGTTATTTCTAACTAATTTCTTTTTTTTTATGTAAACTGTTAGGTCTAAATATCAAGGCCAATTTCAGCCAGTGTATTTCAATGTAGAAGTGGTTTACCTGATCAAAATGAAGATCTTCTCCGCGTTGTAAAGATTTTGACAGTGATTTTTCCTGAAAAAAGTACAAAATTGCTGAGTTTAAATGAAACAATATGTGGCAGAATAAAGGGAAATGGTAAAAGATACAAAAATTTCTAGGATCTTTCTACCTAATTAACTGAGGATTGGTAATAAATACACTTAAAAACATATACAGTGCACTCTGTCACATCCGACCTCTGATCACTCCGACACTCTGTCACATCCGACACCATTTTCATGACCCAATTTATTTCCTTATTACTTCAGCCAAAAAATCTCTGGGTAATTCGACTTCTGAATATTCCGGATTACGACATCAATCAGCCGTCCCGTCATATATTTCCATTGAATCGACACCGTATAATCCGTCCTTTAATCGGTAGGTGTGAAGCAAACACTCACCAATCAATTATCGGTGATATTAAAACTCGATGGGCGTGAAGCCACAAAAGATTAACAATCAATCACCAATCAATTATGTGTGAGATTAAAACTCGCTACCGTGGGTCTTTGTTCATTACTTTGATAATTTTAATCTCTTGTACGACAGTTGTGACAAATACTCAAGAATATCCATGAATTTTCCCCCGAATTCACAGTCTTAAAAATATTCCTAGCACCTGTTGGAAACATTCGTTGTGCATGCCGATTGAACCTGAATAACCTATAAGTTTGGTCAACCTACGGATCTATTCGAACCGTGTGACGACGACCTGGGGATGCTCGATTCACAGTCTGGAACGTCCTGAATTGACAGAATTGCAATCGAGTGACGCGGAATTCAGTCCTGTCACAGTTCTGTCAGACCCAACGACGGAAGTGGTGTGAGTAGAATTGTGACGTAATTAAACACGACGAACAGGTTTCGGCTATATGGTTGGATGTGATATCCAGTCGACGCATGCGTTGTAGCCCGAAGTACCCATTTTCACTCGATTGTCACTATTTTTGGGAGGAGAGAATTTAATTCCGGAACGTTCAATCGAGTACGCCCACTATCAATGATAGCAAAGACAAGAGTGCGATCAACTGAAGACGATGAAGAAGATAAATTAACGACAGACTTGACCTATTAAAAATGCCTACGCAAGTTAAATGAAATAAAAATTAATGTAATAAAATTTTGAATGTACAGAAAGGTTAATCATTTTTAAAGGGAATAACATTCTGGTGATTCGAAACTACATTTAAATAATACTTCCGCTTTTCGAAGTTACAAAATTTCCAGTTTTGAGAAAACTGGGTATTCCGACACTCTGCGTAATCCGACATATTGCAACGATCGTGTACCATGCCGGATTTGACAGAGTCCACTGTATAGAGTTCATTCGCTAAGTGATTTTCTTTCCGAAACTGGATTTCTCCTTGGTAAAATTAGAAGAACCAGTGTTCATTATTCTGGACACTGGTTAGAGAGAAAGAGAGAAATGGGGTTTTAATGTCCACTCGACACAAACTAGGCCATTTCGGGACTAACACATGGTTCAATTTCATTTCAATAATTCTCTTGCCTGTAGGGGTCTTTAGCAGTGGGAGGACATGGAGAAAACACATGAGGTTGTTACGTACAACCAGGAAATCAAAACCATGCCAGCTGACTCAATGACAGACCTTATAATACTGTGCACAGGTGCTAACCATTCGACCATCCAACCCCCGCTAGAGACTGGTTAAGTTCCTATATATTTTTAAAGTGTGTATTATTACGACACATTCTTTTAGTTTTCAATAAATTATTTTAAACCAGACAATGCTTTTTGTTAATTTTCATCGACTTTCTGAATCGTAGTCTAAGTAGTACCACTGCCAGTAACTAAATAACATGGTAGTTATTCAAAACTAAATAATAACATGTTCCATTGTGGATCAGTTAAAAAATTATTAAACAGATAATCAACAAAATAATTATACTAGTGGTTCTGCAAGAACATGTTCAATCTTCTTTTCTGTCATTCTGCAGAATTCCAAAAAGATGCTCTGAAGAACAAATTCTCCAGGTTTCGCATCGCGATCTCTTCCCAAGGAACCACATTCAGTTGGTCCTTCTCGGCGCCATGGAAACTTGACAACTAAATCAATACTCTCAGTGCTGGTTTTAGGAATATCTCCTGAAAATAATTAAAATATAAAAATTAATTTTATTATGATCTACACAATAAATGAGACTTTTCTAAACACAAGTACTTCTAACTTGTTTTGATCAGTTCAACATCAATAGCAATGCAATAAGAGACCACAAAATGACTGTGGAGGTTAAAAAAAATAACTAATGTGTCATGGTTCGCTGGCATTTTCTAAGTGTTTAGTTATCTTTCACATGAAGACAGTACAATTAATCAAAACAGGAGACAATGAGTACTTGTCAATCAACTTGTTTATAATTATAAAGACTTCAGCTGGTAATTTTACTCAAAGTTTTAGTTTAGTTTTGCCTGTTGACTACCACTCTGTTGACTACTCCAAAGTGCCTAGAGGTTTTGTTCACAGGTGTCGTGTGGAATCTTGTTCTGAGTTTGAATATGCCAGAGTTCAAAGTGGTCTTTTCCTGTTTAATGGTTTGCAGGTGATGAATTTTTCGAACTCGTAAAATCGACAGTAAAAAAAAAAAATTGTGTAAACTAAATGAAAGTCTGTTGTAGATAACTGAAAAATGTGAACTAATTATCAACTTTTGTGCCATGGTTTTGAGTGTTCACTGTTTGGGTGTTAGATGTTATAGTTTAGCTCTGAACGTAGGTCTAATTACACTCGCCCTGTACGTTCAGGAACCGGCCTATGACTAATTGTCGAAAAAATTTCAGTTCCCAGCAAATCTTACTTTGCAACTTTTTACTGCTGAACGGTCGCGTGTCAGTCCCTGTGAATGCCTGTACAATGTAAAGGAACATTTTAGTGCGAAAACAAGACCAAGTGTTACGAGAACTTACGTTCAGAGCTGAACTAAGATGTTACCGCATCAGAATATCAAAGAGTAACATCTACAACTTGTTCAAGTTGTTGGATTACCACTACCATTCCATTGGCTTGTCCTACTTAAAATGGTATCACGTCATTTGGGACTCACGTCATTTGGGACTCAACATAAACGACATTTGGAACTCAGTTGACTTGATTGGCGTCAATTGGGACTCAACACAAACGACATTTGGGACTCAATATAAACGACAGTTGGGACTATTTATTTATGAGATACTAGCAGGATACCCGGCTTCGCTCGGGGGTCATAACTCTGAAACCGAAAGTGGTAGACTAACGCCACCTGGCCTATGTTACTCCACGGTCCGAGCTACCCCTATACCCCAAATTTCAGACTCGGGGCAGACCTAGTGTAGCCGCCAACCCCGAACAGACAGACTTCTCGGGGGTCATAACTCCGAAACCGGAAGTGGTAGACTAACGTCACCTGGCCTATGTTACTACCAGGTCCGAGCTACCCCTATACCCCAAATTTCAGACTCGGGGCAGACCTAGTGTAGCCACCAACCCCGAACAGACCGGCTTCGCTCGGGGGTCATAACTCTGAAACTGGAAGTGGTAGACTAACGCCACCTGGCCTATGTTACTCCCCGGCCCGAGCTACCCCTATACCCCAGATTTCAGACTCGGGCCAGACCTAGTGTAGCCGCCAACCCCGAACAGACAGACAGACAGACAGACAAACGACAGTCACAAATATATATATAGATAGATATAGTAACAGCTGTCTTAGTTGTCTTTCGTTTTATTTAGTTGATCGGCGATTGTTGAGACCGCGATTAACACTGCTCGTTCTCCTTTGTTTTGTTTTATCTGCGAGTATAAAACTTCTCCTTTGTTTTGTTTTATCTGCGAGTATAAATCTTGACAATAATATATTGTTGAAAATTTGTGTATACTTAGTAATACTTCGTTGTTTTTCTTTTATCAAATAGTAAACGAGCTTGATTGACCGACCACTGCTAATGTTTTTTCGTGAAACGGTATAACTGCAATCAACACACTGCCGCCATTCTCGATGATTGACAACTCACGTTTTTCCTCATCCACCAAAGAACCGTTATGTTTCTTTGAACATACTGCAATAACATCGGGATTATCAGTTAATCAGCTTTAATTATCCCGCTTTGATCGTTGCCATTTCTTATATTTTCCACCAAAAAAATTTGCTGTGCACGCACTAATTTATCGATTGGTATTGCCATCTACGACAAGCATGTCAACGTGCAGCTCACGGATTATCGCTAACAATTTCTAGGGGCTTGTAAAAAAAGATTGCATGTCGTGTAAATATTTATTTTGTTTTTTGTGTAGGTCATTTTCAAATAAATTCATCAGCATATTATTCGTTTTAAATAAATATATAACTTTTATGAGAAACGATGATTATCAAAGAACCGTAAGTGCAACTAATGTTTTATCGTTTGTTTGAGCCTTTTACTAACCACGTGTTTCATGGTAATAAATATTTTCTTTCGTGTTTTGAATTGGCCTATTTCTAATAAATTATCCCGAGTCCCAAACGTTGTATACCCAAGTCCCAAACGACGTATACCAAAGTCCCAAACGTCGTATACCCGAGTCCCAAATGTCGTGGTCATATTTTTTTGAGTCCCAAATGACGCGAGTCCCAAATGACATGTAATCCTTAAAATAATGCCTTACCTCGTTCACCTCCACCCTGGCCGGAAGCCTGCATCTTCTTTCTTGTTTTAAAATATCGTTTGACTTCAGTACATACCAGCTGAGTATATTAATAAAGGGGTTTAAAATAATAACACAAATAACAATATATACAGCAATTGTTCAGTCTTTGAATGTGTCGATTGTTGGGATTGATTTGTTTACATTTTGTCATTTGAGATGAAACTTTTTATAGTTATTGTTTTCATATTCCCCAGAAACCTAAGCAAATGACAATGTCAGTACCATTAACTGTTTACATCGATTTGTTTAGCTGTGTATACGTTCTGTTCTATCATTCTGTTAAATGTACCAAAGAATATGTGTAAATTTGTAGCTAATTTTTGACATTTCATCAAAAATTTGCGGAAGTGTTTCACCAACCGCGCATGCGTACGATTCTTTGATTGTCAGAGTTATTTGCCCTTGATCGCAATCGGGTGTCTTCGTTTCTTTCTGTTACGGAGCTCGGAGCACATTTCAGATTAATATTTTTGTATTTCTTTTCTCTACGATACAAAATTAATAGGTTATCTATATTAACGCCAGAAAAGATACGTGGTGGTTCATGCAGGTTTTCCACAATTGACAAAGGGCGATGTCGGAATTCCATAAAAAAAATTGATCGAGTAGGTCCTACGCCTTCAAATTCGCAATTAATTGTGTTATATAATATATTGTCAAGTAGCATCCTACTACTGATAAAATATATGTCTGCCTCGGTCCTATTGGACACCTCCATAATGTTCCATTTTTGTAGAATTCTATCCACCATTCACCTACAAAAAATAATGCCATGCCTCCGTATGCACTTTCTTAATATAATTCTGGAAACGTCGTTTTAAATAAACTTATTAACATGTACTGAAACATAGCTATGATATCATCAGTATACATAAGATTCGTTAAATTGAGTGAAGACAAAAAATCCAAAAATCCACTTCCTTCTCTTAATTTAAGGGGTTGGGGGGGGGGGGGGGGGGATTTGAAGCAATGGATAAACAAAATTAGGCGATAACAAGAACAGTAATAAAAAAAGTCGGCATATTATTTTTTAATAAAAAAAAAACAACAACAAAAAAAACAAACACACAGACAATATCATTTTTGCAGGATAAATAAAGCGACGAAGCCATAAACAATACCAAAACGTCATAATTTAGACCCTATTGTGATGTCATAATTTAAAAACGTCAATTTTCTTCAGATGATAAATATTTTTGACATGTCAGGGTAAGTTATTTAGAATGTTTTATTATAAATATGTGTTTTTAGCGTTTTTATGTGGATTTTACATAGTAAACATATCTAGGTATAATTATAGAATCATCCAATGTCATTTAAATACAAGGAATATTGCCAGAGCCTATAAAGAATTACTTATTAGTGACGTCAGAAGTTTCATGTTATTTCAAATCAAAATAAAGTACAAATTATTCATACGTGCAATTTTCCTTTTCTGTCTAACTCGTCCAAATTAATTGGAATTTGATATTAAAGTCTCAATTCGCCAGAACAACAATACTCGTTTTCTTTATTTAAATTTTAACAAAACTAAGAAATAAAATGGGGTTTAACGTCCTACTTTTCTACAGAACTATGAAGCGAAAAGTGCTCTTTATGTAGTAATTTTGACAATTAAATTCACACAACTAAGATACCATATTGTGCTCGATGTTCATGGGTAGAACAGAAGATGTTCGGCGTGAATTTAACAGAAAATAATGTGAAGTTTAGATGACTGTGACTTGCACATAATATGCTTTTTATCGTGTATTCGGAAATATGCCTTTTAGAATAGTGTATTGCGGCTTTATGGAATTATTTTTAGCTCCGTGGGACTTAATTGGGTTAAGGTTTTTGATCGACAGATAGTATTAAATTATTCAGCATAGTGTTGTAACTTCTCCTTTGTCGGTTTTTTTTTTTTTTTTTTTTTTTTTTTTAAGAGACCATGCATTGCACATCTAACGCAAGGAACAGCAATGTCCACACGATGACGAGCTTGCAATCCGATAGGAGTTATCTTACCGTAAATCACGTTTCATGTCTTTTTCATAGCTGACAAAATTAAAATCATTTGAAGCCCTTCATTACCGCGTTTATTGGTCGATAAAACTATAATGATGTTTGGTGTAGTATTATCGGATCAGTTTACAAACTTGAGTGAAGTTTAGCCGGGGTATTATGGTATTTCTATGGGTTATGAGCTATTTGTTGGATTTAATAGCCCTGAACTCGACTCGAACGTGATAAAAACTATAGAATTTATTAGGATGCTAGCCATGTAATTTGTTTGCTGTCTGAAACTAACCATGCCATTAGCTAATAAAGAAGTTTTTGTTAAAGTCGGAAGGGTAAAAGGTGATAGGATGTAAAATTGAGAGATTTGAGATAACTCGGTTGTGATCTTTTCCTTTCTTCTACTTAGAATAGCCGAAAAGTTGAAATGAAAATGAAATTAAATGGGGTTTAACGTCCCACTGTTCAGCTCCGGATGGACTAATGAAGTCGGGCTCTGGAGGACATTTTGTCCGCTCTAACATTCCGAGAAACTCTCTTGGCCAACACCGTGATCGAATCCCGGACCTCCTAGTTACCCACTGAAGAACCGTGGCTCGCTTAGAGAGAGAGAGAAATGGGTTTAACGTCCACTCGACACAAACTAGGTCATTTCGGGACTAACACATGGTTCAATTTTATTTCAATAATTCGCTTGCGCGTAGGGGTCTTTAGCAGTGGGAGGAAATCGGAGGACCCGGAGAAAACCTACGAGGTTGGACAGGCTCGCTTAGAGAAAATAACGAATATACGTATAGCGTAACATACGTGACAAAATTTTGATTTTCGTCTAATTATACGTCAAAGGTAATGGTAATCTGTGCATTACGCTTCTATACCCTTGTGTGAACTTGCTACTTAGCGTTTAAATGTATACTTTAAAATTTCGCAGCAAGTCATTTGGGAAGTAACAATTTTGTTTAATGAAATACTTTACCATCCCCTATTCCTGCCAATTCGGAATAGATCGTTTTCAGGATTTGTTGTATCTCGGAAATAGGGTTTAACGTCCTACTATTCTGCAGTTTGTATGAGACGAAACAAAAAAACATGAGGTCCGGGGGCCTGTTTCACGAAACTTTACCTAAGATAAAATCCAAATTTTAGTAATTTAATTGGATAATATTAGATTGATTTTAGTGCTTAGCCAATCAAAATTGAAGTATCTACAAAATTTTTGATTTTATCTTTAGTTAAGATTTCGAGAAACGGGGCACTGGTTCGTAAAGGGTGTCCTTGGCATTTGGAATCCGATTAAGAGTTGCGCAAACGCTGCTGCCCGGGCAGAATTTACATCATCATATCACACTGAATGGCGTATGACCTGGTGTATTCCCTTCTTCATTCGTCCGGTTGGTACCGAAAAGTAGAACGTCAAACTCCACATTCCATTTCAAGCACAATTCGTTACTTTATTATAATCTAAATCAAAGAGGACCAGTTTCTTTAAGTGTAAGATTTATGTTCTGAAGAAATCACACTAGTCGTTTTAAATGCTTTGATGTTATTATTGCACGAATATAGAGTTTCTTTACATAATAATATACCCCTTTATTCATCCACCGACCTCTAATCACGATCAAGTGCTAAAACATGTCATTAGGCGTTTTTCTACCACTCGAGAAGTTACATAAAACACTTTAAAAATGAATTTGATTTCGTAAAAACTCAATTTTCAAAAGAATACTTAACTTTCTATGTAATTTTCTTATGTAAACTTTAATAATTATGTTTTGTGACCTCTTTTGAACTTTTTGTTATCATATTTACTTTCAAAAGCCTTGTTGAGACGAATTGTGGTAACTGTAGATTAATAGAGGACTCACATTGTTCAATATCAATATTTGAACGTATAATTAAAGATACATTATGCAAGAGTTAAATCTGTCTATTGCAGGTCTTTCTTTAGGCCTGAAATGTTATCGAAATTATTTAGACATTAATTAACTTATTCAGACCATAATCAACCCTAGAAGGCATCGCTAGCCTGCGATCTTTAGTGGATTATGAGCCGATTTACTGCATAACTTTCCTTCACGATTTAACGATTAAATGGATAACCGAGACTATGCTGTTTATCGTACTGACTTTAGTAATGATGATCGAGGCTAGGCGGAAATTTCAATCGCTTAGTTCTCGGTTCATAGTGGATCAATTTGAATGAAATTTTCAGCAAATTGCCTTTACATTATCTAGTTTTTAGCTATTATAGTGAGAACTGCCAACTCTTATCGAATCTCCCATAATGTATCTTTAACTTTAAGTAATTATTTCTTCTTTTTTTTATCCCGAAGTGCTATATACATGGTTTTCTAAAATCTCGCTCTTCCATTGTAGTATCAAAACATCGGGAAAATCCATAGTAAATGTACGGAGACCTGTTTATAACGAAATGAAATGGAACAGATCATAAATCTATCCACAATTCTTTCTAAATCTAGGATGGTAAAATTTAAGTCAAGAATCCATTTCCGCTCACCTCTTAATAAACAAAACAGACATAACAAATTCTGTTTGATTAGATTTTACAACTGCCCCCAGAGATATTGTCTAGTTAAACAGGTGTAGCTTTTGTAACATACATTTATACAGTTATACATATATAGTTGGATCTATACCGAAATGTGACACCACTGCCCTGGCAAACTACATCGCGTCGCACTAATACCACTGCCCTGGCAAACTACATTGCGTCGCACTGATACCACTGCCCTGGCAAACTACATCGCGTCACACCGATACCCCTACCCTGGCAAACTACATCGCGTCGCACTGATACCACTGCCCTGTCAAACTACATCGCGTCGTACTGGTAACTACACAGAGGCCTAGATCCCTGTGTTCGTTTGTGGCTCACTAAACAGGAGATCCAGAGTTCGATCCATGTGTTGGTCGAGAAAGTTTCCCCTTGTCAGTGGTGAAGGAAGGGTCTGGCAAGGAAAAAGTCTAGCGGTTCGTATCGGACCAAAAAATCGAGGTCACATGTACACGTTGGTGTGTACGTAACGAACTCTTGACAGTTATAATTCAGTTGTCGTCCTGACAAAATTTCTCTCACAGAACACTGTGCATATATGTCCGTCTTCATTAGCCCTGTTGGTGCAGAAAAGTAGGACGTTAAACCCCATTCATTCATTCATTCATTCATTCATGCTCTAGACACTTTGATTGAGGACTTGTAATGTTTGGATATACTTGGAAAGGTGATAAACGCCATACTATATGTATACATGTATAGTATATTTTAATATCAATATTTACACAGCGTACTACATAGGAAATCTATTTCAAATTTTAAGGCTTTTCTTATCAAAGAGATAAACTTCGCCATACGTATATCGTATCGTGTACCGAAATAAATCTTCTAGCAGATTGAAACAGCTTCTTAAATTAAGTTATCAATCACTTTAGCATCTTTCAACATTTATATCTAAATTGTGAAACTTTTCCTGTAGAATTAAAACGAGAAGCATAGTATGAATAAAAATTAAGAAGAATACATTTATTACTATTTTAAGATAACAGTTGCAAATTAAATTCAGTTGCGCCTGAAATTCTCGAATTTAATAGCATTTTAGAATCTTTATCATCATTTATAAGATTTCTTCATAAAATAAAAACAAAAGCTGAAAGAATACGTTCTTTTTTTGTTTCAGTTCCAGGTAGAGTATTACAAATTGTATCTTTTTTTTCAGGGTTTATTATTTATCACCTTTTCTTATCTGCCTGCCTTCATAATTCTTTTTACATATTTTTTTAGACACGCTTACAAATGATAACCCTTTGCTACATAACTTCACTACAAATTCTCTTTTTATTAATAACCTGATGCTGCGCGTGTGTTGCTATCTGAAGTCACGTGACGAATACACGCGCTGTGTAACGGTCGGGGGTAGTGGGTTTATTCCCTTTGTTTGTCCCTCAAATTTTGGAGCAGCCAGTCGGTAAACATGAGTGCGAAATAATTGCGTGGGAAAACTCTTTATCGAGATGGATATAAGCAAGTCTTCAGATAGGGACAGTGACGACACGCCAGTGGAATACACCTCATATGCACAAGCGTCTGTCAACCCGAATCTCGAACCAGCAAATTACGATTTAGTGGAAAATTCACCAAGGAGTCCGTATAACCCAGGACAGTCGAAACCCGAGGGTTGTGTTACTATGGCCGCTGGGTCGGTCGTTACTATGGATACGGAATCTTCGGATACTACTAGTGAAAGTGATGTGTTTTTGGATAAAAATGAGAATATGTATGATACAAGTAGTAACTCAGAGTCGGATGACACGCAGATGTAAGTAGGCAGAGCATGAGTATATAGACATGTAGCTACTATAGAGTGTAGATCTTTAGATTAGATAAAACTTTTATAACAAGCATGCCTCTTTTCTTGTTTTACACAATACGTAACGTAACCAAATATTAAGCGTGAATGGATGTGGGACACTTTTGTAAACACGTTTTTATCCTCGGTTGAATTCAGTTTACCATACAGAGACAAGAATCCTTAGAAATCATAAAACGAAAAAGTTCTGCACATTTTGCATTTAACATTAAGTTTCAAATATGGAAGACAAACCTTTCTTTGAAAATTACATAACTGAAAACAATTTCAGCATTTCACCGTGCAAAAACTCAAATCAACAAACAAAACATTCTGCACTTTTAACATAAACATAAGTTCACAGACAAACTTTGAAAATAATATAATGCATTAAGCTACTAAAATGTTCTGTTTTATTGTGGGTTTTTTTTGGTAATTTACTAAACTAATTAGGTACCGGTACGTTAAATATTTTTACAACTTAATGAAATGAAATGGGCTTTTACGTCATGCTTTTCTGCGCCTACCGGGTTAATGAAAATGGGCATACGCCTTGCAGTGGTCTATGAGGGAAATTTTTCCCGGACAACAACTGAATTCCAACTGCCAAGGGCCATTTTACGTGCACGCCAAGTGAACACGGGGCCTGGGTTATAACTTACAATTTACGTGAACAAACGTAAGCTTATATAAAATGTGCATACATTTGTTATATTTAGAAGAGAATGTTTTGTACACGAATACTCCCATGACTAAAATGATAATAAACCTGTTCCAGTCTAGTCACTAGTCATTTCATAGTATTCAATCTATCTGTTTTAGGACTTGTTTTACTAGTAGTGCTGTCTGAAACCATAATAATAACCTTCTTTAACATTTTATACACGTGTCTCTCATGTTTTATGTTTGTAAATAATATGAAGTGTTTTCAAAATGTCATGATTTAATTGTTTTTCGCTTCGTCTTTATGGTTATGATTTTTAACAGCGCATACGATCTCGCGTTAACAAACGCTAGATTCAGAAAGGCTTTCGTTTAGACGGCTGACATGGGTGGACTGCGTTGTGCACGAGGGTTAAAGAAAATTGAGCTGGGGAAATATATAATATTGAATAAAAAACGAAAGAAACGAATTGAAAACGAATTTAATTGTACGAACATTAATGAGATATTTAAATAGTGTTTTGCACTTTAACTGACATTAATGTTCGGGATGGCTGTTTTGTTTAGTACTGCCCACCCATAGATCCGAAAAGAGTTACAAGTCGTTGTTATGACTGTTTCTTCTGTTTCAACTTCCATAGTGCCCCCAGGATCTGCTTTTAACTTGTTTGATAATATAATGAGTCACAAAACCGTCTGGCTGACAAAGACAAGTTAATGAGATTCGTCAAATGAAAAATTGAAAAAACCCGAGTGAAGATGTAACGTAATTTGTCTTCGTCATTAGTGCCTATATTTAATTACAAATGGAATGAGTTTGTTATTACATGAAAAAGCAGGGCCGTAACTAGCGCAGAGCATCGAGGGGGGGGGGGGCGAGAAGTGTTCTCAGGGGTGCTGTAAAGTCGACGGACAAAGTATTTTTTTTTTTTTATGGTCAAAATTTTTTTTCACGGGTGGGGGGTGCGAAACTTTTTGCAGGGCCTGTGAAAAAGATTTGAGACAAAACTTTATTCGACGAAAAATTCAAATCAAGAAAAATACATGAACTGATCTAGTGATCTACACATGGGGGTTATAAAAGACACACTCTGTTCTGATTGGGATACCTGATTTATCTCTCTCGGTTTATTGTTATCAAGCTTAATCCGGTCCCGCTGATTCGAAACATTATACCATTTTTTTTTAAAAACTATTTTTTATTTCATAATAGCTGACGTTTTCAATATTGTTATCATTAATTGATCTCTAACCTTAAATTACACTTAAAGAGGATGACACAGAAAACTATAAGTGAAATTTAAAAAGAAGTAAATCGACCGTCTCTTTAAGTTCACAGGGTTCCTTAGCTTGTCATTCATGCATAGCGGAATCTGTTTTGTTTCTCGCCAAAAAACCCAGAGTTAATGAAAACTGAATTATTTAGTAAAAAAAGAAGTTTAACATCTGGTCTCGTCATGTTATGTTGTAGAGACAGCATCAATGACATGCTGTGATACGTTACCACGTCAATTTTCCACAATTTGAAGAATATGTGACCATTGTTTTTAACCATTTGAATTTTTACTTTGTGAACTCGCTATGCGAAGAAAGACGAACTAAACACGCCGAACTGACAGCTTGTCATAAAAGTCAATTTGTAGGAAGAACATAGTTATTTTTTTTTTACTGTATCCCTACTTTTTTTTTCATTTTCAAACATGGATTGGTATTTCCGGAACGTTTTTGATTGAATCTGAAACTTGTTCATTTACGATGTTAATGATTGTGTCTCATATCTCATGTACAACTTGCTCTTTGGTATACCCTCCAGGATGATTTATCACCAGCTCAAACTATCTTCAAAATTAATATTTTTTTTCCTTTAATCGCTATGGTATTCCATCAGTTGAAAAGGCACAGTCTGTGAAAATGGGGAAAATAAGGCATCTTTACGATGTCAGAGATTCCTGAATTTTAGAACAAAAGGATAATGTTTCGTTCCTGGTATTTCAGAAGTGTTTAGAATGATGTTGAAGAGCGTTGTGCTTTATCTCATTGTAGATAGGCGAAAACATATTGGGTATGTTTTACACTTAAATGAACTGTTATATGGATTAAGATGATAGATCGTTGACTACTGGTTTATCTCTTGAAAAAAAAAGAAACCCCAGATCGCTTTCATCTTCGTAAACATCTATTTTATTTCTTCTCAATAGACTATTTCTCCACAGTTCATCATGAACGGTTATCTTATTGTGGATTAAGATGTTAGTTCGTTGACGACTGGTTTATCTCTGAACAAAACACCCAATCGCTTTCATCCTATACCAAACATCTTTTTGTTCTCAATAGACTATTTCCACAGATCATCATTTAATGTATCTATTATATTGTTGTAAATTGTCAGCCAAACAGATCAAACGTCCTCCTACTATCTGGACGGATTCAACCTGCTGCCAATTGCAAACACTAGACTCTCTCGATACCACCCTGCTTTATTTCAATGAATTAAACACCGTACAGGAAACAAATATATTCAAGTAACAAAAAGATATACCTACAATAACATAAATGATCAGTATACAAAAGCGCCTAAGCATTTTCTTCACCATCAATATTTTAGCGGTAGCGTCAGGATTTTTTCAAAAATCGTCGGAGAAATACCCGATGTGGAATACGTCCTGAATACGTCAACATAAATAATTGCATGTTAACATCGACCAAAGGGGGGATTGGCTTGGGGGTTTGGTTTTCCGTTCAATATATTATACTAGCATGGTTAGTGACCGAAATCAAATATGCTTAGATCCGTAGATATATACAAGTGCCTTCACCCTAACCAAAATATGAACCAAAACCATAAAGTATAGTGAGGTTACGATCTGGTAGATTATATATGCTTCAACCAATTTGATCTGTTTTGAGTAAAACGGAATTCTTTAGTTATAGATGATGGTCTGTAAAAATAATTACCCATGTTAACTGTAAGTTTTACGCCTACGTCAGAAAGATGTGCATCAGCTAAAAACTGCACCTATTATTTTGATGCAACGTGCATTAGCTGAACACCGCAACCTGCACCGTACCCCTATCCTAATATAGAATAGAACAATCTGCCCAGTTCTCGGGTTTGTTTACATCATAAACAAACACCTTGTATCTATATTTTACTTACTGATATATACACAACAACCACGATATGTTCAAAACATGCTCGTTCTGATTTCACGTGCATCGAACAAAACTAGTACACCTATACTATAGGGCAGACAGGGAATACACGCGTGCGTACGGAATGTTGAAGAGCGTTCTAGATGTGTGAAGTCATCTCGATATATTTTAGCATCTGGTGAAGAACTTCTGTCGTTTTGGATGTTGTCTAGATGTTTATCTTGGGTGGTGTATTTACATGCAGTATATATATATATACTGTTAGCGAGACCGTTAAATATGTACACTTGATATGGAAGCTTTAAGTCAAGTGATGGAGATTCTATAGTCATATACTCAACTTGAAATCTAGTATAAGATACTTAAAGGAATCAATTAAACAGAGTGGTTGTCATTTTATGTTTTATCACATTTAAAGAATATATTTTCAAAATGATATCACTTAAACAGGTGTGCCAACAGGCCAGGTATACCGACAATCAAAATTCAAAAGTATAAACAAAAAACATTTTGGTCCGCAAATTAATAAAATCGATCAATTCTAATGCGATGATTTCTGTTGATGTTACACTGCTATCTCTAAAATAATGAGAATTCTTTGTGTATCGTGAAACATGGGTCTTCATGTTTTACTTTCAAAAAGGGGTTAGTAAAATATGTCAAACCCTTTAACCCTTGTTAATTCCTGTTGTCCTGGAAATGTATGTTTATATGCCATGTGGCTCAGTGAGCAAGGCTCTAGCTGATTGACCAGGAGGCCCAGTGCCGGGATTTTCCAGCGTGGTTTCCACTTGGTGCAGGACGGCTGGCCCGACAAGGACAGCGTCTAGTCATTGGAATGGGAAGAAAAACCTAGACCCGTGTAGAAGTTTGTGTGCGCGTAAATGAACACTTGACAGTTGGAATTTAATTTCTGTATGGCGTGGGCCTTTGGAGAAGAGATCGCGGGTTCGCTCCCGCGGTGTTGGCCGGGGAAGTTCATCTGGATTTTCCGGCGTGGTTTCCCCCTTGTCATTAGTGCAGGACGGAGGACCTGGCAAGAACAGTCGTCTACACATTTACACATTGGTGTACACGTAAAAGATCCCTTGGCAGTTGAAATTCGATATAAAATTAGGACGTAGCGTCGCTTTCTGTGCAAAATTTTCCTCATA